GCCTAGCTGGTCTGGGCTACACTCTGCAGGAAATAAAATGTCAGGTCAGCCTCGTTCTAGATGCTGTACTGATTAGGGGAGCCGGGAAAGGTCATGAGGAAGACCAGGGAGGGCACCAGTGTGGGCTCCAGGCCCACTCTGCCTGGGTTCAAATCCCGGCTCTGCCTGACCTGGAGCCAGTCACTTCACCACTCTGTGCCTCAGTTTCCCCATTTGTAAAATGAAAACAGTAACACTACCTACCTCATAGGGTTGTTCCAAGGATCAAATGAGTTTCCCTATCTCTAAGAGCACTTAGGACATTTTAGGCAATTAACAAGCTAGAATTATCATCGTCTCTACTCAAGGCACAAACCCTGGTTTACCCCAGAGAGAGTTCTGGCCTCGAGATGCTCAGATTCTCTGCCAGAACACAGCTGTCTTATTGACACTCACCCAGAGGTTAAGCCCCTCCTATCTAGTTTGAATTTCACGTCTGTGGATCTTGGGTGTCTGCTAAGACACGCGTTGCCTGTGCTCAGCCCGCACGAAGCCACACTTCTTTCTGTTCTATCTGAACGCTGTCTGCACAAGCGGGGCCTCACCCGCTCACATCCCTCGCGCCCAGGCCGGCTGGAGGGCCCTCTTTTGGCACTCAGGTGCCAGGTCGGCTTTCTCCCTCCTTGGCCACCTACAGCATTCTCTCCCCCCAAGAACCCACAACCTCCACGAGAGGCGTCCGCACACCCATAGGAGAGGGTGGTCAGAAGTTACAGTTGTCCGAACAAATTAACCTGTCTTTCATTTTATCCTGTAAGACTATTCAACCACTCTGATTTAGGTTTCAATGTTCTTTTTTTCTCCATCCATCTCAAGCCCCAGAAAACTTTCTCTCACCCTGAAAGCCTTTCCAGCAGGGCTAAGCAACGCTGGTTGGCACGTTGGCCAGGATATATAACAATAACAATAATGGACACTGATTCAGCCACTACTCTGGGCCAGGAAAGCACCAACGACTCACAATTACAACCTCATAAGGAAGGGCATGTTATTATTATTCCCATTTAACGAATTAAAAAACTGAGGCTCAGAGAAGTGAAGCCACTTGCCTAAAGCCAGCCAGCTCTTAAGTGGCAGAGCCCACACTTGAACCCAACTTCTCTCCAAAACCCGAGGGCCAGGGCGGAGCAAAAGACTTAAGAGGAGGGAAGGCAAGAGCTGTACTCAGAAAACCGCAGTCCCACAGGCAACTGTCCCCCACTCACTTCCCCTCTCTCGGCTGCTCTGTGGACTTCTGCCCCAGGGGCAAGCCCGTCTCATCCAGCCCCAGAGGGCCGGCGGGAGCCTCCCTCGCTGCTCCTGAGCGCTCAGCACCACCCCCAGGGGGCTGCAGGTGCCCAAACAGCTCCAAAGTACACAGAACGCTCCCAGTGAAAGGCCCAGCACACAGTAGGTGCTTAGGAGGGTTACTGTGCCAGGTTGCCAAAGCAACAGAGCAGAGTGCATTATTGCCTTTTCCTTTGCTTACAAAGTAAAAAAAAAAAAAAAGCAGCCTAAATATCTTCAAAGCAGAAGGAGGAAGACCTAAGGTGCTCAGGGGAAGTGGGTCGGGTGCGAGGCTAGACGGAATTCGGGGCTGTCGGGGAGAGCGCCGCAGCGCGGGGAGAGGGCGCGGGCGGGCAGGGCGCCCCCTGGGCGCGGACGGTGCCTGGCTCACAGTAGGTGCTCATTCAAACGTGTTGAATGAATGAATGAGAGGCGCGGCCGGCGTCAGCGAAGCCCAGGGGAGGCCCCCGGGCGCGCGGCCCTAGGGGGCAAGGTCCAAGGAGAAGCGCCGCGCGCTGAGCAGAGGGCGCCCCGAGGCCCTGCGCCCCGGCCCCGCGCCGCAACCGGCCCCCAGACCCGACGCTGGCCGGGCAGGACGGGGGGCCGCAGGCAGCAGGCCCCGGGGCGCAGGTCGGGCACCCCCGCCCCCGGCCCGGGCACCCCTCTTCCAGCGCCCCGGCCGGCCGGCAGCCCCGGAGGCCGCGCGTGGCCCAGGCCGGCCCCCGGCGCCAGGTGCGCGGCGACCGGGGCAAGGTGACCGCGGGCGCGGGCCCGGCGCCCACCTTCTGAGCCGCGCGCACGTTGTCCTCGCCGAACAGGCTGCTGACGCTCTGCGAGAAGGTGTTGACCGTGCGGCGGTAGCTGTTCTTCTCCGTGCCGCCGCGGCCCCTTGCCCCCTGCGCGCCGGGGGCCAGCAGCCCGAGCAGCAGCAGCAGCAGCAGGAGCCCAGCCCGGGCCCGGGGCCCGCCCGAGGCGCGCGCGCCCATCCTGCGGCCGGCGGGCTCGGGCTCGGGGAGAGGGGTGAGGGGCGCACGGACGGACGCCGCGGCTCCGGCGGGGACCGCGTTGGCGCGCTCCGGGCCGCGCGCCTCGCTTCTGCCCGCTGCCGCCGCCGCCGCCGCCGCTGCGCCACCTGCCCCGCCCCGCGCGCAAAGGCGCGACGGCCCTGCCCACGCCTCGCCCCGCCCCCGGACGCGGGAACCCGGCCCGCGACCCCGCCGAGGGGGCGGCAGCGGTTCAGGCTGCTCTGTGTCCCCGCCCCCGCCAGGCCCTCCCTGAACTGGTGGGTTTTGAACCTTGAAAAAAATAATTTCTATTTTTAACTTTTCTGTAAAAAGCAACCCATGCCTGTAAAAGTTGCTACAGCCTCAGCAAGGATAATGACTGCAATTGATGGGAAAACGTGAAATACATATATTATGTATCATTATATTTATAATGGTACCCAATAATTAGCCACCGTTGCGGATGGCAAGGGCGCCAGCTCACTCATTCATTCTGAAATGCTTAAATAAAGGGAAGGAATCAGGCATCCGTCCTGCTCTTTCTGAACAAACTATTTCAGAGTCCCAAGATAGTAGAGGAGGGGAAGTCCCTTTAAGATAAGTCCAGCCAGTAAATGAGGAGGGAGCGAGAGAATTAGAAAATCATTTTGCACCCCTTCATGAAATGACCAATTCAGGCGACGATCATCAAGGGACTGAAACCAAGAGGTGACAGTTGGTGGGGAACTTGAAAATGGAGGGGCCAAGTTGTCCAGACTCGGACCCGCCAATCTTAGTAGCAGGAAGTACCAGCGCCACCTATGATGGATTCTTGCCAAAGCGCTTGGAGCCACAACTCGATGTGGCCTCTACACCAAACCGACAGTTTAGCGGAAATATGGGGGATGGAGGCAAAAATTAGAAGCAGCAGAAGCAATCAGCCAAATCCAGAATGTGAAGCATTCTGCAGGACAAACGACCCAGTTTCTTCAATAAGTAAATGGCATAAAAAGTGAAGGGAGGGGGGATTACTGGTTTTAAAAGACTTAAGAGTCCTAATAACCAAACGCAAAGCAAGGGGCTTGTTCGGGTCCTCATCAAACCAACCAAGTCTAACCACACGTTCTTTGAGACAACCAGGAAAATGAAAGTTAATTTTTGCCAACCCCGGGGTGAAAAATGATCTCTCATTTTTGAACTTAACTTTTTCCCGGATTCCCAGTGAAGTTTTCATGTATTTCTTGGCCATGTGACCTACTCTTCTGTGAACTGCCTGTTCATGTCCTCTGACCATTTTTCTTGTATTATCTTTTTTTAAAGTAAACTTTTTAATCAATGTATAGCATATGAACAGAAAAATACACAAATCATATGGTGCCTCTCTATGAATTTTCACAAAGTGAACACACAGGTACCCAGCACCCAGCTTGAGAAACAGAGCATTTCCAGCTTCCCAGAAAGGCTCCCTTTGTCCTCTCCGGTTCCCTGTGTCCCCTTCCAAAATTTAGGGGATCCGTTTTACCTGGTTTTGAACTTTATGTAAATGGGATCACACAGCATGATCTTCTGCGATTGGCTTCTTTTGTTCAATATTATATTTGTGAGATCCATGTTGTCGGGTATTTGTCTTTTTCTTCCTACTTCATAGAATGTTCTTTACATCTTCTGGAGATAATCCTTTGATATGTAGTATTTTAGAAGAAAATATAGGAAAATGTACTATTACCTACTTAATAATTTAAAAATGAACAAAGTTTTTTTTTACTTAAATAAGCGTATTTTAAAAAGAAACTGTGGATCACTATTATCCCAAGCAATAAAATACATGAAATACAGGTTTGATATGCTAATTATACTTTTCCCCCAAAATTCTTTTAAATTAATATATAACTTTAAGAATGTATTCATATGTATACTATCTAAATCCTCTCACGCACCACCAGTGTGCTGTGGTAGTCTGTTTTTGTTTTTCAGGGAAGAAGGGGAATTTATCCAAATTCAGGCACGCTATTCATTCATTTACTCATTCTCCAACTATTCATTGCTTGCCTACTCTGCAGCCAGACCTTGTTCTCGTGTCTTCAAAGGTTTTTCCTCGGGCAGTATCTTTAAGTAATTAAAAAAAATAACGTTATCCTTTCTAAAATTCTAAAATAACTCTTAGTGCCTTCATATTCTTTTGTGATATAATTTAAATCTTTGCCCTTAACGAGTTAATGCTTTTAACAGAAAAAAGGCGACACAATGTCACAGTTCTATTTACCAGATAATTACAGGATTCAGAAAATACATTATTTCCGAGTGCGCTACAGACAGTGTGATGTGGTAATGAGGCTTTAAAGTTATCTAATGGATGCCTTCTTCTCTTGGTTCTATCCCTCTAGTGGAAATATTTAGTGCCTTTTTATACGACACAACTAATGTACGTTTCTTGTAGGAATACCAGAAAATGCAAATAAGCAAAAAAGGGAGGGAAGAAGCTTGCATTAGCGGCGGGGTTATATTTTAAAAGGTACCAAAACACTCCCACTCCCACACAGCCAAATTCGTATTAGTAGATAATGCCGTCTTAGAGACTCAGACCACAGCGCGCGGCCTCTGCTGGGGCCTCAGGCTCCGCCCCCGCCTCTAAGTTAGCCCCGCCCCCGCCTCTAAGTTAGCCCCGCCCCCAGCCGTCACCTCGCGGGCCCTTTTATCCTCAGCTCTCGCGAGAGCACATTCCGGAAGTCTCCTGGCGGAGCGGGTGGTCTGGGGGCTCACGTGGGCCGGGCCTAGGGGTGCGCCGCTGGAGACTCTGCCGGAGCCGAACGGGAGCGGGGCGCCATGGGGAAGCTGCGCCGGCGGTACAACGTCAGGGGGCGCCTGCAGGCGGCCCCCGGCCCCTCGAAGGGCCCCCCCGAGCCGCCCCCCGTGCGCCTGGAACTAGAGGGTAAGGTGTCCCGGGACTGGAGCTGGGTTTCGGGGGCGGCCGCCCAGGGCCTCGCGGCCAGGACTGGGCAGTGGGGGCCCACGGGCTTCCGGACTGTGCCCTGCCTCCGCGACGCCGGGGCAGGGGACCAGAGAGAACCCCCTCTCGGAGGATCCAGAGGAAGGGGAGCCGCTGACAGTCGAGTTTTAACAGCGAATTTGGGACAATACCTGGGGTCTTAGTATAGCAGCATGAGGAATTTGGGCAGGAAAATGAGGTCATTCCATCCATTCCGATGGCTTCGATTATAGTCTCTTTGCTAGTGACCCCTAAATTTGGGTTTTCAGCCCAATGTGTGCTCAGCTCCAGGCTGCTTGACATTTCTACTCAGACTCCTTTTAGTAGGAGCGCCCACTGTGTGCCAAGCACTATTGTAGGAGCCATAGCAGAAGAGGAGATTTAACAAAAATCCGTGCCCTGCTGAGCTCAGATGCTCCTGGGAGGAGATGGGCAAAGATGAACAGGTAAAATATATAGAGTGTTGCATGGTTCTATCACTAAGAAGATAAAGCAGAAGAGGTGTTTGGGTGGGTTGCAGTGTTCCCTGGGGTGGGCGGGGAAGGCCCCACTGAGAAAGCATGACTTGAGTCAAGACCTGAAGGCCGCTGGAATGGCTGAGGGGAGATGAAATTAGCAGTGGGGTCAGGATCATGTAGGGCCTGTGGGTCATGGCAAGGAGGGTGGCCATGGGCGCGTTTAGAGCAGAGAAGGGACACTGCTTGCGCTTACGCTTTGACAGCATCAGTTTGGCTGCTGTGTTGAGGAAAAGCAGCAGAGGGCAAAGCAGAGCCCGGGTGATGGGTTAGGAGGCTGTTGAGTCCGCTTGCTGGGGCAGGTGTGGGTGCCTGGACCAGGGAGACAGCTGCACGGGAGGTGAGAGGTGTTTGGATTCACGATATATCTTGAAGGTGGAGATGACGGGATTTGCTGGCTGACCGAACACAAGGACAAAGGAGATGTCAAGACTGACTGCCAGGCGTTGGGCCCAGCCTCAGCAGAAGGCAGGGCTGGGCAGCTTGGGGGGAGGCCAAGAGCTTGGTTTTGGAAACCAGTGGTTGGGGGCCTGTTAGACATCCAGGTAAAGAGGGTAGGTGGGCAGCTCCTGACTCGGAGGTGCGTCCCGGTGGAGATGCCAATTTGGAATCATCTGTGAATAGACGATATTTAGAGTCCACAGACTGGATTTGCTCGCTGAGGGAATGAGTCCAGCCCTGGAGGAGAGGGAAATGAGGAGGAGGTGGAGCAGCCTGGGAGGTGGGGGGAGAGTGTGAGTGTCCGGGGCGCCATGGAGGGGGACCCACTGTGTGTGTCAGATGTTGCTGTCAGCTCAGGGAGGGAGAGAGGGACCCTGGATGTAACCCTGGGGAGGCCGTCGAGGACCTTGATGGAGCCAGCATCAGAGGAGAGTTGGGGTGAAGCGATTGAGTGGGTTCAAAGGTGTCTTACAGGCCCCTTCAGCAGCGCATTCCAAGCTGCTCCTGTGTGCTCCCTGAGGTCCTCGTCGATTTAGGACAGTGGGCCTAGATTCCGGGGACGGAGGGAGGGGGAGCCGGAGCCCCTGGAGAAGCCTGCTTCCCTCGACCCACTAGTCGGACTCCGTTCCGCATTCCACTCACTGGACATGGAGGGCGTGAGGTTGTAGGAAGGGATGTCAGCGTGGGAATCCGGAGCGTGAATTCCCTCCCCAGAAGTCGCGCAGATAGGCTGGGAGTTGAAGCAAATCACCTGACATCTCTGTGCCTCAGTTTTCTCTTCTGTAAAATGGGTCCAGTAGCAATAGCCAGGTGGGAACCTGCTATGAGAGTTTTGGAGGTGGTATTTTGGGAGAATATGTTTATGACTGAAACAGGAATTCTTTGAAAAGCTGAGATGTGATGTCTGTGATGGGCATCATCCATTGTAAACAGCAGTGACAGCTCAGGACGTGAGACAGGAGACCCCCAGGCTGACAGTTGGAGCTGGGCGACCAGAGCAGAGGGGCTGAGGTCTCTTAGACCCAAAGATTGGGGAAAGTGGTTTCTCACCTCAGAGCAGGTCACCGTCGTGTCTCCCTGCCTTTCTCAAGGGCCAGAGGGGTCTTACAAGAACGTAAATCAGATTGCCTTCTTCATAGAGCCTTCCCTGCCACCAGTCCACTGTCGCTGCCACTTATTTTTATCTTTCTCACATCCTCTGGTTTTTTTTTCCTATCGCACAGTTGTTCTCAAGTTTTTTGGACTGAGGACACTTTGATATTCTTAAAATTTGAGGGCCCCAGAGTGCTTTTGTTAGTGTGGGTTATATCTATCGATATTTACCGTATTAGAAATTAAAAATGAGGAGTTTTGCAGCACAGGCATATGGAAGCACACGCTCCTTTAGCCGTCAGAGCAGCCGCACGTTACACGATTTGGAGCCTCGGGAAAATGCCACCATAACGCTCTTTTTTTTTTCTGCTTTTAATTCTGTTTATTTGAGAACTGCAGAAGGGGTAGCTTGCATTGCTTAAAGTTTTCTTCTTCTTAATGAGGGTCGCACAACCTCTCCTACCCTTTTTAACGTAAAGAAAGGCGCAGAAAGCCTGAGCAGTTAATAAAAGAGTCGGACTGCCCGTAGGTCCCCAGGCTACTGCAGTGGGCTGCGTGGAAGAGGAAAATGATAGCTGGATTTTGGTCTAGATCGTATACTTTCAAACTGTGACATTTAAAAATAGGTATGAACCAAACCCAGTCCTGAGTCCACTGCACGCTCTTTAGAACGTCAGTGTTCTTACAGAAATAGTTTGGACCTCATGGGCCGGCTGAGAGCAGAGCCACGCTCCGAGGGGAGCACGTCCTCCTTCCTGGCCCCCCACACACACGGGGCCGGAGCCGCCCGCCGCGGAGCCCGACCTGCGGCAGGTGCCAAGTAGACGGGTCGAGTGAGTGCATCGCGGGCCTGCGCCCCGGGTCCTGTGCGGCACTCGCACTCGCGGCTCACATGGGGGACAGGAGGGCCTGTGGGGGGCGGGACAGGACCGCTGGAGAAAGAGGGCTTAATGCACAATCTCCAGGGTCCCAGCGCCTGCGCTGCCCAGCCTCCGAGGCTGGGGGTCAGGCCAGCGTGTCTTTTCAGATCAGGGCACGTTGAAAGGAGTTGATGCAAGCAACGCGCTGGTTCTGCCGGGGAGGAGGAAGAAGAAGACCAAGGCCCCTCCGCTGTCGAAGAAGGAGAAGAAGCCTCTGACCAGGAAAGAGCGGAAAGTGCTGCAGAAGGTCTTAGAGCAGAAGGAGAAGAAGAGCCAGGTACGCTGCCCCGCCAGGTCTGCACGCGGCCCTCCAGACCGGGCGAGCGGGAGGCCTGTATCCCCTGGCTTAGTCTCTGCAGCACGACTGTCCAGTAGAACTTTCTGGAATGCAGGGCATGTTCTGTGTCTGCACAGTCCAGTACAGTAGTCACGTGTGGGTGTTGAGTACTTGAAATGTGGCTAGTGTGGAAGGAGTTGAATTTTTAATGTGATTTAATTTTAATTAACTTAAATTCAAATAGCCACATATGCCTAGCGGCCCCCCTGTCTGACACTCGGCTCCAGAACCTTCCACCCTCCGGGGGCCGTGCTGTCTGGGTCTCTGTCGGTCTGGGACGGGCCCACGTCTGTTGAGGTCACGTGTTTGTTAACTGGGGAGTCAGTCAATCAACATGCTCATCTTTTTTTTTTCCTATCATTTTGTGTTATTTTATTTTTTAACTTTATTTTGGAGAATTTTAACCTTTTTTTCTTATATTTTAAGGAAAAAATTTTGTAATGGGAAATTCAAACATACAAAAGTAGAAAAAATAGTGTAAGGAACTGCTGTGGCCCAGACGCCAGCTCCACCGGTCATCACCCCACGGTGGACCTTGGGTCATCGCCGCTGCGGGTCGCTTTCCCACCTCCTGGGTCAAAGCCGCAGTCGCACAAATCTGTACTAGTTTCCCGGGGCCGCAACAGGTGACCACAAACTCGGTGGCTTAAAGCAGCGGAAGGTCATTCTGTCACAGTTGTGGCGTCCAGCAGTCTGAAGCGCAGGTGTGGCAGGGCCGTGCTCCCTCTGAGGGCTCCGGGCGAGGGTCCTTCCTGCCTCCTCTGGCTCCTGGTGGCTCCCAGCATTCCTTGGCCGGTGGCCACTTCCCTCCATCCCCGCCTCTGTCTTCCCCCGGCCTCCTCTCTGTGTGTCTTCCCAGGACACTTGTCTTTGGGTCTAGAACCCACCTGGGTAGTCCAGGCTCTCATCTCAAGGTCCTTAACTGATGTACATTGGCAAAGACCCTTTTGCCAAAGAAGATGATTTTCTCGGAAGCGGACCTATCTTTGGGGGCCACCACTGAACCCGCTATCCATAACAATTCATCCGTAAATGTTTCAGTTTGTAGCTCTAAAGTAAGGATCTTTTTTTTTTTTTAATTTGAGTTCATAATAGTTTACGTCATTGTAAAATTTCAGTTGTACATTATTTCTTGACTGTCACCACATAGGTGCTCCCCTGCACCCCCTGTGCCCACCCCCTCCCCCTCCCCCTAGTAACCGCTGAACTGTTTTCTTTGTCCATGTGCTTGTTTATCTTCCACATACGAGTGGAATCATCTGGTGTTTGTCTTTCTCATTCTGGCTTATTTCACTTAGCATAATTCCCTCCAGGTCTTTCCACATTGTTGCAAATGGGATGAGTTTGTCCCTTTTTCTGGCTGAGTAGTATTCTGTTGTATATATATATACGCCACATCTTCCTTATCCAGTCATCGGTGATGGGCACTTGGATTGTTTCCATGTCTTGGCTATTGTGGATAGTGCTGCAGTGAGCGTAGGGGTGCATATGTTACTTTGGATTGTTGATTTCAAGTTGCTTGGATAGATATCCAGTAGTGGGATAGCTGGGTGGTATGGTATTTCTATTTTTAGTTTTTTGCAGAATCTCCCTACTGTTTTGCATAGTGGCTGCACCAGTTTGCATTCCCACCAGCAGTGTGTGAGGGTTCCCTTCTCTCCACACCCTCTCCAACATTTTTTATTTTTAGTCTCAGTGATTAGAGCCATTTTAACAGGCGTAAGGTGGTAGCTTAGTGTAGTTCTGATTTGCATTTCCCTGATGATTAGTGATGTTGAACATCTTTTCATGTGTTTATTGGTTATCTCTGTATCTGCTTTGGAAAAATATCTGTTTATATCCTCTGCCCATTTTTTGATCAGGCTGTTTGTTTTTGTGTTGTTAAGTTGTGTGAGTTCCTTATATATTATGGAGATTAACCCCTTATCAAATATATGATTTGCAAATATTTTCTCCCAGTTGGTGGGTTGTCTCTTGGTTTTGATCCTAGTTTCTTTTGCCTTGCAGAAGCTCTTTAGTCTGATGAACTCCCACTTGTTTATTTTTTCTTTTGCTTCCCTTGTCTGAGAAGACATGGTATTCAAAGAGATCAATAAGGATCATTTCAAATAACCATAATACCATTAGCACACCTAAATTCTCAGAAAAGATCATCAAATATCCCGTAAAGGGTCAAACCTCCAGTTCTTTCATAGGTAGGTACTCCCCCACCCCACCTCTTTATTCTCCTTATAATTTAGTTGTTGAAGACATTGGGTTGTTTGTCTCGTAGAGTTTCCCATGGTCTGGATTTTTAAAATTTTGTCTCTGTGGTACAGTTACACGCACTCCTCGCCCTCCGAATTTCCTATAAAGTGGGATTTGAGTCTGGGGCAGCCATTCCCAGCCGGGACAGTTTGGCTCCTGGGAACACATGGCTGCGTCTGAAGACGCTTAGGTTGTGAGGACTTGGGGTGCTCCTGGCACCTCGTGGGTAGAGGCCTGGGTGCCACTAAATGCCTGCCCTGCACACAAACAAAATGGTACAACTGGAAGTGCAGTGACGTGAAGACTGGGACCCCAGTCCAGAGGCCTCATCAGATGTGCGTGGGGCTTTCTCGCTGGGTCACCGCACACTCAGCCCTGGAGCCCTCACTGTGAGGGAGACTTGCCCCCCCGGGGAGTGTGTCCTTTTTGCATCCTGTGCAGTATTTTCTCCACTGTTCTCTGACTTGTTTTTTCTTTTATTGATTATGAAACATATACAAAAACATAAAATGTGTAATTTTAAGAATAATAAAACAAAAACTCTTGGGGCTGGCCCAGTGGCGCAGCAGTTAAGTGGGGACGTTCCGCTTCGGCGGGCCGGGGTTCACTGGTTTGGATCCCAGGTGCGGACATGGCACCGCTTGGCATGCCATGCTGTGGCAGGTGTCCCATGTATAAAGTAGAGGAAGATGGGCACGGATGTTAGCTCAGGGCTAATCTTCCTCAAAAAAATTTTAAAAATTAAAAAAAGCCAAAACTCATGAAACGCTCACCCAGGGGAAAGAAACCACCTGGGTCGCCCGCACACATGTTTCACAGGCGAGGAGACACTGCCCGTCCCACACGGAGCTGTCCCGTCACCACAGCTGGCGGCCCTGCTTCACTCACTCTCCTGATGACAGCATCTGGAAGGTCGAAGATCTTCTCTCGGGACACGGATGCAACGAGAGCCGTGTTTTTGCAGCCCCAGTTTCCCTCCGGGCTCACCGGTCAGTCAGTGAGAACACAGGCGGCCGAGCCATTGCAGTGTGACCTTCGGTTCCTAAAGACTAGGTGTCGTTAGCGAGGCTGAACTTTACGTGGAGTCCCACTTCCCTTCTGGAGAGAGGGTCGTGGCCCCAGTGTCACACACTCGTCTCCTCCCCAGCGGGCAGAGATGCTGCGGAAGCTGAGTGAGGTCCAGGCCTCGGAAGCCGAGATGAGGCTCTTCTTCACCACCTCCAAGCTGGGCATGGGGCACCGCATGTACCAGACCCGAGAGTGAGTCGGCCTGCCCCTCCTGCCGGGCTCCTGGGGGAGGGCTCACAGGTTGCAGAGTCCCACCCCCGCTCTCTGCTGTCTTACCCTCTGCCCGCTCAGTTCGTTTATGCTGGTATTGGCCTGGTCCCTGTAAGCATCGTTGAGCATTTGATGACTGCTTCTTGAGTGTAAACTGTGTGCCAGGCTCTCCTGCAGGCCCTGGGCATAGAGCAGTGCACAACAGTGAAGTAAGAAATAGGCTTCCTTTAAGAAGCTGACGTTCTCATGTTGGGGAGGTGGGCAGTAATTAAACAGATACCTATGTATCTAGTGCTGGTGAGCACGAAGGGGAAAATGAAGCAGGGAAAGGAGGGTGGAAGGAGATGAGAGGGGCGTTTCCTGCTGCATGGTCAGGGTCAGTCTCCCTGAGAGAGGGCATTGGAGTGAAGCAAAAGTTTTTAGCAGGGAGCAGGAACAGCAAGTGCAAAGGCCCTGAGGTAGGAAGGGATGTGGCCTTTCAGTCCGGGCCTCTGGTGAGTGCTCACCAACCCAGAGCTGCCTCAGGTCCACTGGCCCATCCTAGGGCCTTCGTACCTGACTTGTGGTTCTCTCAGCAGGAAATCTGACGAGATTGCAGCCCCGGGTCAGGAGAAGATCAGCAGCCTCAGTGGGGCCCACCGGAAGCGCCACCGCCAGGAGGCAGAGGAGGAAGAGTCCGAGTCCTCGATGGAGTCTGAACCTGACGAGGCCCCAGGCACTGAGCAGGCGCAGGCTGGTACAGGGACGACGGCAGCGCATCAGCCGCCAGCTCTGCCGGGGGCCAGGAGCGAGAGCCCAGCACCCAGGGGTCAGCCCCCTCCGGCCGCAGCCCCCGCCGTGGCCAAGTGCCCAGCAGAGCCCGCCGTCTTCATCCCTGTGAACCGCTCCCCTGAAATGCAGGTGTGCTGCCCGGGTGTCTGTGATGGGAACTCAGGGCAGCATGTGAGGGGTGAGGGGCGGAGGGGACGTCCCGTGATTGGGGCAGGTCGTACTGCCTCCTGCGCCTCAGTGTCCTCGGTACCTGCCTGGCAGGGTCATGGCCAAGACTGATGAGGGGCTGCACGTGGGCATGTGCTTACAGCAGGCCCGGCACAGGGTCGGGCTGTCGCAATGGGTGTTGGCTGCCTTAGTGGTTGGCCTCTGACCTCAGGTCGGGCCCAGGCGGCCACCAGTCCCTACAGGCTGGGCTGTGGGGTCCGTTGGCCTGAGGTGGAGTGCTGGTTCCACCACTTCCCAGCCCATCCCTGGGCCTCGTTTTGTTCATCTGTGGAATGGGCATCCTCTGCCTCAGGCGCCCTCCTCTCTGCCTCCCTCGGTTTCCTTCTCTGGTAAACATGGCTCTTGCTGGGTTGTCTTGACAATGGAAAGAGGCAGGAACGGGAAGCCCGAGGCCCACAGAAGGCCCTGGGGAAATGTTGCAGTGGAGTTGTGGGCCGTCTCGCCTAGGGTGGGTGGGAGGTGTTGGTGACGCGGCCGACGGGAGGTCTCTTAGCCCGGGGCCTGGCCCGTCATGAGGGGTGAACATTCTCTCCATCCATCCCCACGTGTCCATGGGGGAATGCTTTGTGGCCTCCGGGCTCTCAGTCCAGCTGGGGAGACTGACATTGGTCACCAGCATCATGAACAGGGCCAAGAGCCCTGGAGGAAAAGATGGGGTCCCATGAGGGGGACATGGAAGGGCCTGGTCTCGTCAGGGAAGGCGTCTGGGGAAAGAGCGTCCAGGGCGAGTGCTGAGGGAGCAGTAGAAGCTGGGAGTGGGGAGGCGTCCCACGCTGGGAACCCCATGAGCAATGGTCCTGAGGCATGAGGGCTCCCGGGGCCCCTGAGCAGCTGTTTCACAGCATGAATTGGGTTGTGGAAACAGATGGGATGTGACCAGCTCCTTTTTTTTTTATTTTATTTTTTTGCTGAGGAAGGTTGTTGCTGACATAACATCTGTGCCTGTCTTCCTTTATCTTGTATGTGGGATGCTGCCACACCACGGCTTGATGAGTGGCGTGTACATCCGCACCTGGGATCCAAACCCTTTGAACCCCGGGCCGCTGAAGCAGAGCACAGACTTAACCACTGCGCCACTGGGCTATCCCCCAGCTCCTTTTTTTTAAATAGAAAAGAAAAGAATAGAGAACACAGTGCAGCTCCAAATAAGAATAAGTACTGTCTAACGAAGTTGTGATTTCAGTCGGAGGTGCGTCTGTGCGCTTGCGTGTGAAGAGTTAGTCAGGGTCAGCTGTCTGCTCTCACCGACGACCCCAAAGAGCCACTGGGCTCTCGCCACAGGGGTCGACTTCTAGGGGAGGTCAGAGCGCCATGCCAGCTGCTGGCAAGCGGTGGTGTGGGGCTCTGCTCCACGCGGTCGTCCAGGGCCCCCGGCCCACCATCCCGTGTCCTGCATCCCCTCCCCGCCCCCGGGCTTCGTTCTTCCTTTCTGTGTGGTTCTTCCCTGTTTCTAAGCCCTTTATTGCCCAGGTTTGCATCCTGTCACAGGTCTTTTTCTGCAGTTTGCTTTCTTCGTCAGTCAGCATGACGTTGCTGAGCTTTACTTACCCACGCTGACGTGTGTGCACTGAGTCACGACATGAAATGTGCTGCCTTCTGTGGGCTCAACCAGGACAGGGGTTGCTATGTGCACGTCCTCCATCCTGGTGGAATTAGCGCCAGGTTACCTGCTCACATGGATGTGCGTGAATGTTGATGCCCAGCAGCCGCAGCTGAGGTTCCCGCGTCTCGGGCTCCTCTGCGCCAGCCGGGCTGTCCTCCAGGGCAACCGATGCCCCGAAGCACCTGGGCCATGGCTCTCTGTCCCCCTTCCCAGCTGTCACGGCTGCCGTCACTAAAGGGCACACCTGTTCCTGTGGGCTGAGCACTGTCCATGCGCCAGCTGCCCCCTTTGTAGAAACCACGTCACCCTGCGTAGTCGTGCTCCATCTGACTGGGGTCCCCTTGTCCCCTCTGCCATTCTGCAGGGACCCCTCCCCCCGATTCCCTGAGTGCTGACTTCCTCTCTGTCACCAGGAGGAAAGGCTGAAGCTCCCGATTCTCTCCGAAGAACAAGTGATCATGGAGGCGGTGGCCGAGCACCCCATCGTCATCGTGTGCGGCGAGACCGGCAGCGGGAAGACCACGCAGGTGCCCCAGTTTCTCTACGAAGCGGGCTACAGCAGGTAGGGGCTGGCGCAGGGTCCTCCACAGGTCCCTTGGGTGACAGCAGAGATGTGGTCCCCGAAAGTCATTCTGAGCATGGGCTCCTGGTGATCTAATCCTGGCTATGCCCTCGACCTGCTGTGTGACTTTGGCCAGGTTGCTTGCCCTCTCTGGGCCTCAGTTTCCTGAGCTGTGAGACGGGGATAATCATTGCACCTGTTTCACAGGCTGGTTATGTAGATGAAATGACTGAATTCACGTAAAACACCTGAATCCGCCCCTGACTCGTGGGCCGGTGTGTCTCCTCCTGTCAATGCTTCTGAGCCGTGTGTGTCAGGGGTCCGCCAGACCACCCCCAGACTCTGGTTTGCTAGGAGGACTGAGCACATGGTGGTGCTCATGGCTGTGATTATTACAGTGAAAGGACACGAGGTGCAGCCAGCGAAGGGAAAGGCGCATGGGGTGGGCTGTGGGGGACCAGGCACAGGCTTCCAGAGCCCGCTGCCGGGGGAGTCACACAGGGCACACCGAGCTCCTCCAGCCAGTGGGTTGCGACAGCACGTGTAAAGGGTCCACCAGGGAAGCCCAGAGGAGACCCTGTACCCAGGCTGTCTGTGGGGGTCACGTTGGCCCCCCTGCCTGGCGCAGTGAGCGGAGAGCAGGTGGTCCGCATGTACCACGTTGTTCCAGACAGCCCAGGCGCAGAGATGCCTCGTCAGCCAGGGAGTGGTGGGCCCTTGCTGCAGACCAGGGTCCCAGGGGCCACCAGCCCCAGCCCCGTCAGGAGGTCTTTTTGGTGAGGGCAGCTCGGACCTGCCGTGTTTGCTGTTTTCTGCACGGCCCAGAAACCAGCCGCTGTGCCCTCGGTGGGTTCTGTGTCTGGAGCCGTGCTCGGCTGGGGCAGGCTCCGGGCCACCCGGACCTCGTTCCTGTAGCCGTGGCTTGGCTTCCACGCGCTGTGGCAGCCGAAGCACCTTCTGCGTGCTGGCCTGCGGGCATTCCCCTGGGCCACTGAGTGGTGCTGCCTCGCCTGCTGTGCGTGTCCTGTCGCCCCTGCTGAGGGCCACGTCTACACAGTCACTCCTGACATGGAACTGCGTGTGACTTGGGACAGACAGGCGGGGCCGAGGACTGCTGATGGATTGTGTTCTCCCCACCAGCGACAACAGCATCATCGGCGTCACGGAGCCCCGCCGAGTGGCCGCCATGGCCATGTCCCAGCGAGTGGCCAAGGAGATGAACCTGTCGCAGAGGTGAGGCCTGTCTCCTGGGGGAGGGCCGGGGGGTCTTCTGGCCTTGCCTGGGGCCGGCTGTCCAGGAGCAGCCGAGCAACGTCGCGGGCCCCATCCAGCCCGAGGGTGCCGGGTGGGAGTGTCGCTTCTGCATCTCAGTGCAGGAGTCTCCACATACAGGAAGGCTTCCTGCGCTCTGGTCAGCACGACCCTCCTGGGCCACGGAGCAGGGGCGAGCCAGCCAGGCCCCTCGGCTCATGTCACGCACGTGCAGTGAGGGGACAGGTCGCCCTTACAGGGGTCAAGGGCAGAGCAGAACAGCAGGTGGCCAGGCGCAGGCAGGCAGTGGTGCGTCCCCAGCACTGCCCGCTTACTTCAGAATGCAGGCTTCCAGAGTGCGAGTCCTCGCTGGCAGTAGGGCTGCAGGATGTGCCTTGGGAAGCAGTTTGAGCAAAGCAATGAGGCATTTGCTAGAGTAGCCTGGGACCGCGTTTATAAGGCAGACGCCTGGGCCTCAGCCCAGACTGTCAAATTCAGGTTGGAGGGGTAGCACGTCCAGGACGGACTAGAGTCCGGAAAGCACAGAAGAGCCAGAGCCAGTCTCCTCTTCCGTCCTGTCGCCAGGTGAGCAGCGCCTGCTGTGTGCCGGCCTGTTCCAGGCTCCCGGACGTGGCTGTGGGCTGCCTGTGCCCCTGGGGCTGGCCTGCGAGTGGGGAGCCTTGTTAGCTAGGCGAGGCGCCCCCAGCTCCCCTCCCCAGCTGCAGCCACCACTGCACGTTTACTGTGGATCCTTCTAGACAGTTCTGTGCACAGACAGGCAACTATCTGTGTGTCTGTTTCTCCCTGTCTGACTTCTACATACGCGGTTCATGCCGTTCAGTCTTCTGTGGCTTTCCTACTCCGTCTAATAGTGTATCTTCAAAATGACAGTACAAAGAAGCTGTCCTTTTTTATCTTTTTTTTTTACTTTTTATTGTGAAAATTTCAAGCATATACAGAAGTCAGAAGAATGAGCAGCCCCCTTGTACCCTAGATCCCGTTTCAGTAATTGTCAGCTCGTGACCAGCTTTGTCCGTCTGTGCCACCCACTCCCCCTGTCGTTGAGAAGCAGGTCCCAGATGTCACGTTGTCTCACCCTCAGTATTTCACCGTGCGGGTCTGGAACACCGAGATTCTCCTTTTCTAGATAAGGACTCTTTAAACCCAAGTGCCGTGTCTCTGTCATAACTGCAAAGTGTGTGCCAGCTCCGGAGCATCCTCCAGTCCAACCGGCTCCTCGGGCGCCTCCACACCTGGTTGTTGGCTGGGCTCTGGCCGGGGTCCGCCCGTGTTGGGTTGACGTGCTCTGCAGTCGGCTGGGACGGCTCCCTGCACCTCATGCTGAGAGGCAGAGCAGTGGGCAGGGGTCCGGGCCTTGCTGGAGGAGCTGGCGGGCCCTGCCCTTGGCCGCCTGCCCAGCGGGGTCAGACTTCCGCTGCCTACCTTGGAGTAGCCACGTGGCCACAGCCCTAACCAGTTGCAGCTCTGGGGACTGGCCTGCCCTGAGTCGTTGCCTGTCCCCACAGGGTTGTCTCCTACCAGATCCGATACGAAGGAAACGTGACTGAAGACACCAGGATCAAGTTCATGACGGACGGTGTGTTGCTCAAGGAAATCCAGAAGGTTGGGTGCTCATCTTGTCTCAGAAAGCATGGCCTGGGGGGGTGAGGAGTTAGGATGTCCTCCTGGATATGAGCAGCTAGCATGCCACCTGTTGGCAAAGCAGGATGCACCTCTGTGCCACTGTGTGACCTTGGGTGGGTTACTTAATCTCTCTGAGCCTTAGTTTCTTGATCTGCAAGCTGGTGCCTTCCTCATATAATTGTTTTGAAGCGGAAATTGTATAATGCGTGAGAGCATCTTAACACAATGCCCAGTAGGTGCATATCAGTGTTAGCGCCTGTTTTTATCATGATCTGGTTCACAGACTTTGTGCATGGGCGAAATGCACACTGCCCCTCCTGGCTGTGTGATGTTCCCCGGGCAGGGGTGTCTGGGGAGGGCAGGGATGGCTCCTGCCTCTGCCCCGACGCTTGCTGTGGTCACCTGGGAAGGTGGTTTTGGGTCTGATGGCATCTTTCTGTATGGGGCGCATGTCCAGTTGCCCTCAGTCCCCACCCAGCATCTCATCTCCGTTTCCTGCAGCCCTCCCCACCACACAGCGTCCGTGTTTGGTACCTCAGCTCTCATAAATAGTGGCTGCCCTTTCTCTGCAGGCCCCAGGCCGTGTACTTTACAGGTAGTGATTGTCATCTAAACATCACCGTGACCCCCGTCGGTGGGTTCCGTTGTCCCTATTTTACAGATGAAGAAACTGAGTCATGGGGAGGTCAAGTCACTTGCCCGAGGTCGCAGCCCAGCATCCCCCAGCCCGAGTGCTGAGGCTCCGTGCCGGCTGTGGGAGGGCTCCTCCAGGGGGTTCTGGCGTGTGAACGTGGGTGGGTGCGGCCTGGCCGGCGGGCTCACACCACTGACCCCCCAGGACTTCCTGCTGCTGAGGTACAAGGTGGTGGTCATCGACGAGGCCCACGAGCGGAGCGTGTACACGGACATCCTCATTGGCCTCCTGTCCCGCATCGTGGCCCTCCGGGCAAAGGTAGGCGGGAGGCGGGTGCTGGGAGCCGAGGCCCAGGCTCCCTCCAGCCTGTCAGGAGCCCGGCCCCCGAGGCCCGTGCCCATCTGCACCCAGGGCCGCACTGAGAGGGAGGTCTCCCGAGGGCAGGGTCCCCGGGCCAGGGCTGGGCTGCAGGTCTCGGTGTGAACAGCCCTGTGTGAGTCCACCTGGCTGCCACCCTGGCTCCAGCCTCGTGGACTGCGACCCTTCCCTCTGTCCAGAGCAGGGGGTTTGTGGTGGGCCAGGCTTCACGTGGAGCCGGCTTTGAGATGGTGGCAGTTCTGTGCAACCTGCAGAGCGGGCGGGGCCGCCAGCTGAGCCCTGTGCTCCCCGTGCCGCGATAGGCTCGCCCAGCTCCCCGCTGGGTCAGCCTCTCCCTCTGTCTTCTGCACCTCACCCCTCGGGGGCAGAGGTGGACGGCAGGCCTGCAGGGCTGAGGCTGCGCCCTGGGGTGGGGGCTCCACGAAGGCGGCCTGTTCTGGCTGCCCAGCCCTGCCGAGAAGACGACATGTGACTGTGCCTGATTCTCACAGTGAGGACCGGTCATCAGGCAGATAGCGGTTCTGTGCGTGCTGTGCCAGGCCATGCTCAAGGCACGGGACAACAGTTCCTACCCTCCTGGGGCTTCCGTTTTAGTTAGGGCAGCTGGCAGTAAGAAAGTCCGAGAGTCTGTGAGCTGATGATGGACAAAGCTGGGGACAGGGGGAAGGTGGAGAGCAGGTGGTGAGAGAAGGGGCCTTTGAGTGGTGGGCCGAAGGAAGGTGGGGAGCTAGCAGTGGCTACTGGGTGAAGAGATTCTGAGTAGAGAGAAGAATGGTGCAAAGGCCCTGGGGCAGCAGTTGGCCTGCTATCTTTTTTTTTTTAACAAGCTCTATCCTATATAATTGATCTGCGTAAAGCGTACAGTTCAGTGGTTTTTAGTCTCTTCAGAGTTGTGCTAACATCACCATGGTTAGTTTTAGAATATCTTCATCACCCCGAAAAGAAACTGTACCCCTTAGCTGTCAGCCCCAATCCACCCACACTCCTCCCGTCTTCAGGTATCCATTAGTCTACTTTCTGTTTGTCTATTCTGGACATTTCGTATGAATGGAATCATACAATGCGTGGCCTTTGTGGCTGGCTTCTCTCACTCAGCAGTGTTTCAAGCTCCATCCACATTGTCACAGGTGTCAGTGCTTCATTCTTTTCACGGCTGAATAGTATTCCACTGTGGGTGGACCACATTTATCCATTCATCTGTTGGTGGGCGTGTGGTTTGTTCCCAGTTTCTGGCTGTCGTGAACATTCGTGTGCAGGTTTCTGTGTGGACACGGTTCATTCTCTTGGGGCTGTGGCTCAGGTGGAAAGGCTGCTCACACAGGCCTCCACGTTGAACCACTTGAACCACCTGCCAGGCCGTTCTCCACAGCGGCTGCACCATGTGGCCGCCCCAGCGCTGTACGGGGGTCCACTTCCCACATCCTCACCAACACTGGTTATTGTCCGTGTTTTTAGTCCCCTCTGTCCCTAGGGGTAAAGTGGTGTCTCGTGGTTCTGACTGGTGTCTTTGAGGACCGTCAGGGAGCCTGGGGCGGCCAAGCCGAGTGAGCGAGGAGGGAAAACAGGAGGTGGGCAGGAAGGGGCGCCAGTGGGGCCAGCTCGGGGACCTCGTCGGCAGGAGAGGGGCCTTTGATCTGCGCCAGGCCTCTCACCTGGGCTTTTTTCACCAAAAACACTCTGCACTTAGCTTTGGGGTTTGGGGTTTACCGGCAGCAGAGGACAGCGTCCAGGACTTGAGCAAAGCCCACCATGAGGCACATCGGGTGCTGCCAAGGGGCCAGGAAGCAGGGACCCCCTCCACACGCCAGAGGGAGGGCCGCTTCTCCTGGATCTCAGGGACAAACACAGGCATGACGTGGCGTGGGAGCTGACGGCAGCCACGCCCACTGTCCCTGAGAACTGGGCAGCCCCCAGGCCCAGCCCTCCAGCTTCACCGTCTGCCCGTGGAGCATGACTTTGGGGGACTTTAAGGACCGCCCTTGACAAGCCTCTGCCTCAGGAGAGGCAGCCCCTGCCTCAGCTCACTTTTCCACGTTTTCTGGGATCTTTGGCAGCTGGAAAGGGCCCTCGGGTGGGGGCTGGAGGGAGGCTGGGAGGGCAGAGGTCTCCCCGACCCGCCCTGGGAGGCGGTGGGTCACCGAGGCTGTCGTCCCGCAGAGGCACCTGCCGCTGAAGCTGCTCATCATGTCTGCCACGCTGCGGGTGGAGGACTTCACCCAGAACCAGCGGCTCTTTGCCACGCCACCCCCAGTCATCAAGGTGAGGCCGGGCCACCGGGGACACGGGGCCTCTTGGCTGACAGCGAGGACATCTGGTGGCAGGGAGCCCTCGCTCTGCCACGTGGAGGGTTGTCAGTGCAGGAGAGGCAGCAAAGAGCCTCGAGCACCAGACTGAGGCCAGCGTGGGCAGAAAGTTCTGGAAAGGGGAGGGGCCGAGCCTGAGCAGATACTCATGCCCACCCCGTCGCCTCCCCGGGCGTCTGGCAGGTCGAGGCCCGGCAGTTTCCGGTGACGGTTCACTTTAACAAGCGGACGCCGCTGGACGACTACAGCGGGGAGTGCTTCCGCAAGGTCTGCAGGATCCACCGGCTGCTGCCCGCGGGTGAGGCCCGAGGGAGGGAGGCGGCCTGGCCCTGCTGCCTGCGGGTGAGGCCCGAGGGAGGGAGGCGGCCTGGCCCTGCAGACCCGCGGGTGAGGCCCGAGGGAGGGAGGCGGCCTGGCCCTGCTGCCCGCGGGTGAGGCCCGAGGGAGGGAGGCGGCCTGGCCCTGCAGACCCGCGGGTGAGGCCGGAGGGAGGGAGGCGGCCTGGCCCTGCAGACCCGCGGCGCGGCCAGCCTGGGTTCTGGGCCCAGCTCGGGGCGTGGGGCAGTCCCTGGTCCCAGCTGGGCCTCGGTTTCCTCCCTGGTTCTGGAGCGTTCTCAACACCTGCCCCGCTGGGTCCCACCCAGAGGGTGGTGCTGCTCAGTGATTAACTGGGTCGGGGGTGGGGGTGCGCCTTCGTCCGCGCTGACCCAGGCAGGCGCCCCGGATACAGGGCAGGTGAGCAGGCGTCCTGCCTGGGTTTCGCTCCTGCCCCTGCCCGCGCTTTCACCGTGTCCCCGTGGTGCTCGCTGGGTTATTTATGGAATGGTGTTACTTAAGCTGGCTTGACCTTTTCTGGGTGAACAAGTGGATGCCAAAAGGAACAACGGTGATAGGAACCAGCTTCACTGAGCAGACATAGGCGGTCACCACGCAGAGGAAACGCCACAGCTGAGCCAGCCGTGGTGACTTCTAGCCGAGCGGGGGCCGCTGAGGCCGACCGAGCCCGCCTCCCCTGCGGAGGCACTGAGAGCAGCGAAGGTGCTCCCGATGCCCTGTGCATGTCTGCCTAGGGCGTCTCGGTGTTCACCTGCTGCCTCTGGGAGACTGAGCTGGTGGCGGAGGAGATGGCGGGAGGTCAGAGGGCGTGAGGCCGAGGCAGGAGCTTGGGCGGGCGCGGTGGAGTGGCCTCCCCTTCCTGGGCGGTCTGCTCGTCAGCGGAGGTTGCCCGGCTCGTTTCCTCCTGTTCTTTCACCGCGTCCTCCCCTCGGCCCTCCTGTGTTCTCTTCGTCGTGTCCACCTCCTGGACGTTGATCCGGGACCCCCGCCACGCTGCTGTGTGGACTGGGGTCTTGAACGCCAGGGCCTGTCCCTCCCTTGTGCCTGGCGGTCTTGTTTCCTTATCCACTCTTCCCCCCGCCCTGGTCACTCCTCCCGCGGAGGGGATGGGGGCCGTCGATGGGGAGTGCCACCAATGTGCTGCCATCGCAGCTGCGAATGCCCAGCCCTCCTTAACCCACCGCCTCTTCCTGCGTCGCCTGGGGGTGGCCATGTCTCCCGCGCCTCCTGTTTCCCACTGGCCTCTGGTCTCCTCCTCCCGCCGTCCCAGGGAACGTTTTCAGATGCCGTCCCTGGGGAAGCCCTCCGGTCCAGCCTCCCTGAGAGCGCTCCACCTTCTGCACCCGTTTCTCACCAGCTCCTCAGCTCACGGCGCGGCCTCTGCACCCCACACCTGAACTTGCCTCCCTGAGGTCACCACCATCTCTCTTTACACTTGTGAAAAGGTCCTGCTGAGTTTTTGGTGCCGTTGGTCAACAGAGACGGCCCCCACCTCCTCTGGGTGGTGTCACCCACCTCTGGCCTTTCTCCGTCTCATCTCTCGCTCCTTTTCCTCCTCCCCCTCGGGTGTCACTGTGGTTCATGGTTATGCCTGGCCCTCTTCCCACATGATGCCCTTTCCCTGGACAGCCACGGCCACCCCGGGGCTTCAGCTTAATGTCACTAGCTTTTCTTTGGTGGTAAACTATACATAAGGTTTATCATTTTAACTGTTTTTTTCATTTTAACCATCTTTGTACAATTCAATGGCATTTAGTATATTCACAGTGCTGTGTAACTATCACCACCGTCTGTCTCCAGAACTTTTCATCGCCCCAAACAGAAACTGTGTCCCCTTTAAACACTAACTCCCCATTTGCCCTCCTCCCAGCTCCTGGCAACCACTAATCTACTTCATCTTTGAGGATTTACTTATTCTAGACATTTCATATCAGTGGGATCGTACTGTAGGTAATCTTCTGTGTCTGTCTGCTTGCTTTTTTTTTTTTTTGAGGAAGACTAGCCCTGAGCTAGCATCTGTACCCGTCTTTCTCTATTTTATATGTGGGACGCCTGCCACAGCAAGGCTTGATAAGCACTGCATGGGTCCACACCCGGGATCCAAACCAGGGAACCCCGGGCCACCGAAGTGGAAGGTGCACAATTAACCACTGCGCCACCAGGCTGGCCCCGTCTTCTTTCATTTAATGTAATGTTGTCAGGGTTCATCCAGGTTGTAGCAGGTGTCAGTGCTTCGTTCCTTTCGTGGCTGAATGCTGTTCCACTGTGCAGATGGACCATACCTTGTACGTCTGTTCATCCATTGTGGACACTTGGGCGGCTGCCACGTCTTGGCTGTCGTGACGCCAGATGCACGAGCGTCTGGACAGCTTTGGGTTTGCTTCCCTCTTCCCCCTTCCTGTGGGCGCTTGCCCAGGATGCAACTGCCGGGTCGTCTGGTGTCTCTGCTTGACTCCCCGCCCAGTGCCCTCTGTCTGGGAGGCGGCTGCCCGTGGCCCGTCCGTGTCTGCAGCCCTGCTCTGCCCGTCCCCCCCCAGAGCAGGGCTCGGCAGCTGGTCGTCACTGGGATGGTGTTTGCTTCGTGAATGGCCAGATCATGGGGGCCCCGTTCTCTCCGCAGGCGGCATCCTGGTGTTCCTGACGGGGCAGGCAGAGGTCCATGCGCTGTGCCGCAGGCTGAGGAGAGCCTTCCCACGTGCCACACCCGGGCCACCAGGTAATAGGCGCCCCGAGAGGCTGGGGCCGCCAGCAGGCTTCCAGGCCTCCCTCCGTCGCCCCTCCCGATGAAGGTCACCGCTGCAGTGACCTCGCTCTGGATCGGGACGAGCAGAGTCCTGATACCCAGGCCCTGGCCACTGGGTGTCTGCCCCTAACCTGCTCATCTTTCCCAGAAAAGGAGGATCAGAAAGATTCGGCAGAAGAAATGCGGAAGTTTAAGAAGTCGAGAGCGAGGGCAAAGAAGGCCCGGGTGGCGGTACGTAGGGTCTCGTGGGGCTGCTCGGGCTCGGTAGCTGCCTTGTCTGTATGGTTGCCGCTTGCCCTGTGCGCCTGTGTAGATACAGATTTAATTAAAATAAAGTAAACTTATAATTCAAGTTCTCGGTCGTGTTAGACACATTTCAGATGCTCGGTGATCTCCTGGGCTATGATGACCACATTTGCAAGCGCAGGTCTAGAACCTTCCTACTGATAAAGGGAGTTCTGTTGGATGGGGCTGCTCTAGAGGCTGCAAGGGGCTGTGATTTGAAACATTCAAGGTTCCCTGTGCTGTGGGCCCAGAGGAAGCTTCTAGAAGGCTGGGCCCTGAGTAGGGCCTGCAAGGATTCCCAGGGAGGGCGGGTGGAACAAGGGCAAGGGACCCTCAGGGCTTGCTCAAGACCCAGGGGAGGGTGCGAGGTGAGGGCCAGGCCAGGCCGTGGTGGACGCTCACCCCCAGGACGTCTGCACGATGTCGCCGTGGAGCCATTGGCATTGGCGGCATTACTTAGAGCTGGTAACCTCCTGTGTTCACAGCATGCCCGGCGGCCCGCCGAGCGCTCCACGTGTGTTAACTAATGGAGTGCACGCGGCAGCCCTGGCAGTAGAGTGCTAGCATTGTCCCCAATTTTTAGATGAGGAAACTGAGGCAGAACGGGGCTGCGTGACCTGCCACAGTGGCGTGGCCCAAGGGTGGTGGGGCTGGGCCTCGGGCTTGAGCGGCCTCATGGGCCGATGTCTTGTTTACCGCAGACATTGCCCCAGATCAGTTTGGACAATTACTCAGTGTTGCCAGTGGGTGAAGGCGACGAGGACAGGGAAGCGGAAATGGATGACGAGGAGGCCCTGGGCTCCGACCTCGACCTGGACTTGGGAGACGGTGGGGATGACGGAGCGGACGGAGGTATGACCTCAGCAGGGCCTCCTGCCCCCTTGTCTGTGGAGCCCCTGCTGCACCAGCTCCTGTTGTAGCCCAGACTCGTTTGTCCCACCCTGGGGGGCTTTTGAGCCAAGTGAGGTGACCTGGAGCATCTTTGGTCCCCACTGGCATTGTGCCCCAAGAAAGCCGGGCTTTCTGGCTGCTCGTTCCCTGCTGTTTTCTGAGCTGCAGCAGCTGCCTGGCCCAGAGGAGGCCCTCAAACACTTGTTGTGTTGGTTGTGATGAGGGTGCCGCCCCGAGCTCAGCTCCGCTGGGCGAATGCACACCCTCAGGGGGAGCCAAGGTCAAGCCGTCAGGCAGCCCCACGAGCCACACTGCAGCAGTGCCAGAGCAAGCTCTAGGCCAGGCCGGGCTCTTCCGAGGCGGACATTCTGCTGTGTGGTGGCCATGCCCGCCTGGGGCCAGGGCAGTGGGCAGGAGGGCCTTCAGGAGCCTCTCCTGGCCACCCAGGCTCCGCCACTCCCTGTGCTGGGTTGACCCCTGGCAGCAGCTCTGGCACAGGGACCTCTCGACAGAGCAGGGTGGGGGGTGCTGCCTGCCTGCAGCTGGCTTCCCTGGGGAGCAAGTGGGGTGCCAGCAGGCCTCTGCTCGCCCTGCAGGTGACCATCCGGATGCCTCGCTGCCCCTGTACGTGCTCCCGCTCTACTCTTTGCTGGCCCCGGAGAAGCAAGCACAGGTACGAGCACGGGGTCTCGGGCGGGTGCCGGGCTGCTCTTGGGGCCCTCCTCACGGCCTCCAGAGGGTGCGGGTCAGGCCCTGAGTCCTTCACCCTGTCAGCACCCAGATTTCTGAGGGGCTGTTGGCATCTCGTTCTCGGAGGACAGAAACGCTTCCCTGCATCCAGCTTAGGCACTTTGTGGCCGGAGGCAAGGAGACGACTTAGCCTTGTCACCTCCGGGCCCGTCCAGCCCAGCCGACTTCTCTGTGATCAAGAGACACCTCCTGGCTTTGCCCCCACCTCTGTCCCACGACTTCTTTTCTGATTCTGATGTTTTCTTGCTGCCCCTCCCCGCACCCTAGGTCTTCAAACCTCCTCCAGAGGGGACTCGGCTGTGTGTCGTGGCCACCAATGTGGCCGAGACATCCCTCACCATCCCGGGCATCAAGTATGTGGTGGACTGCGGGAAGGTCAAGAAGCGGCACTACGACCGTGTCACTGGCGTGTCCTCCTTCCGCGTCACCTGGGTCTCCCAGGCCTCGGCCGATCAGCGGGCGGGCCGCGCAGGCCGCACAGAGCCCGGGCACTGCTACAGGTGGGGCTCCCCGGGGACTCTCCTTGGCTTGTCCGCAGGCTCGCTCTTCATTCCGTCCTCACTTCTTTATTCCGCAGCTGAAGGCAGACTTTGTTCTTAGCTGATTTGTTTTTGTTGTGTGAACAGCTTTATCAAGATAGAATTCTCATACCACAAAATTCACCATTTTGAAGTGTGCAATTCCGTGGTTTTTAGTGTATTCACAGAGTGGTACACCCATCACCACAATCAATTTTGAAACGTTCTCATCATGCACGCGTTAGGCACTTCTCCCCACCCACCCCACCCCTGCCCCTGGCAGCCACCAGTCTGCTTTCTGTCCCTATGGATTTGCCTGTTCTGGACCTTTCCTGTGGTGGAGTCATACAGTGTGTGGCCTTTTGTGTCTCACTTCTTTGACTTAGCATGTTTTCAAGGTCCATGCATGATGTGGCAGCTGTCAGGGCTTCATTCCTTACGGCCGACTCATATTCCACTGGGTGCGTGGACCGTGTTGTGTGTGTCTGTTGATGATTTGGGTGGTTCACATTTTGGCTGTCGTGAATGGTGCTGCTGTGGACGTGCATGGACATGTTTTTGCTTGAATATCTGTTTCTGTTTCTCATGGGTCTGTACCTGGGAGCGGAGGTGCTTGGTCAGATGGTAACAGCAGCTGCATCATTTACATTCCCACATTCATAGTGTGAAGGTTCTAATTTCTCCACATTCTTGCCAACGCTTGTTATTTTCCATTTTTTAAAAATGGAAATGTGAATTGGTAGCTCACTGTGGTGCATTTCCCTCATGGCTAATGACACTGAGCATGTTTGCACAGGCTTAGTCGCCATTTGTATATGTTCTTTGGAGAAATGTATATTCTGATCTTTCACTTACTTTTTTTTTTTGAGGAAGATTAGCCCTGAGCTAACTGCTGCCAGTCCTCCTCTTTTTGCTGAGGAAGACTGGCCCTGAGCTAACGTCTGTGCCCATCTTCTTCTAGTTTATATATGGGACGCCTGCCACAGCATGGCTTCCCAAGCAGTGCCTTGTCGGCACCCAGGATCCGAACCGGCGAACCCCTGGCCGCCAAAGCAGAACGTGCAAACTTGACCGCTGTCCCACCAGGCTGACCCCATTCACTTATTTTTTGATGGGGTTATTTGTCTTTTTATTATTGAGTTATAAAAGTTGTTCATATAATCTGGATATTAAGATCTTATCAGAGGTATCATTAGCAAATATTTTCTCCCAGTCTGTGTCCTGTTACTATTATTTTTTTTCTTGAGGAAGATTAGCCTTGAGCTAATATCCACTGCCAATTCTTCTCTTTTTGCTGAGGAAGACTGGTCCTAAGCTGACATCTGTGCCCATTTTCCTCTACTTTATGTGTGGGACAACGCCACAACGTGGCTTGATGAGTGGTGTGTAGCTCTACACCCAGGATCCGAACCGGCGAACCCTGGGCCCCCAAAACAGTGCGTGTGAACTTAACGAGTGTGCCGCTGGGCCAGCCCCATGTGCTGTAATTTTTTAATAGCTTTATTGCTGTTTTCAACATTGTTTTAAACTACAAAAAAGAAAGTTGAGAAACTGCTAAAGAATGACAGTAGTTCAGCTTGCCTGGGTGCTGGGAGCCGGGCACTGTTCTGAGCTCTCTGATGTGGTATCTGGCCAGGCCCGAGGGCAGCTGCTTGGTTAGGCCCGTTTCCCGGGTGAGGACAGTGAGACAGGAAGAGGTGGACACCTTGCCTAGTAGGTGGCCGAGTCCAGATTCATGCCGGGTGGTGTGGCTGAGTTTCTTTGCCTTTGTTCACGTCCTCTGTGGTCGGTGCTCCCCTCCGCGCAGGCTCTATTCATCTGCGGTTTTTGGAGACTTTGAGCAGTTTCCTCCTCCTGAAATCACGCGGAGGCCCGTCGAGGACTTGATCCTTCAGATGAAAGCTCTCAACATTGAAAAGGTCTGTCGCAGCCCCTAGGCCTGCCGTCTCCCGCTGAGCTCCCAGCGCACCTGCATCCGGCCTGGTCGGTGGGGCGGCCCCAGCCCCTCACGGGCCGTCTCCCCTTCCCCACACACAGGGAGCCAGGAGCTGAGCCCAGAGGGCTTTGCCCAGCCTCCCTGGGCTTCCTGCCTCCCGAGACCCCCGCTTGCCCCATGCTGCACCCCTTGAACACCCAGGGGACAGCTGCCTGGGAGAGAAGCCGGGCAGAGGGCCCACCCCATGTGTGTAGGGCTGTCAGTGTCCTGGGGGCTCGCAGAATGTTCTGCTGACTCAGTCCTTTGCGGGGAGGAGGAACAGCATCCTCATGTTCCCTTTGTCCAGGGTCACCCACCTCTCCCCTGCTCCAGGAGGGGTCGTGCAGGCAGATAGAGAAACCCGGTACCCACAGGAAACCCCCACCTCTTGGCAGTCGCTCCCGTTCCTTCCATCTCCCAGCCCTTGGCAGCCACGCGTCTACTTTGTGTTCCTATGGATCTGTCCATTGAGACGTTTTTTATCAATGGAGTCACACGGTGTTTGTCCTTTTATGACTGGGTGCTTTTACTCAGCCAAGTGTTTTAATAGTTAGTCCATGTTGTAGCGTGTCAGCATTTTGCTCCCTCGTGGCTGAATCGTACTCCCTTGGGTGGAGGGCCCTCATTCTGTCCATCCGTCCATCAGTGATGGATGCTCGGGCTGTTGGCACCTTTTGGCTTCTGTGAACATTCGCATACAAGTACTTATTTGAACTCTGTTGTCAGTTGGCCTATTTCCAGGGTGCCGCCATTCCTGAGCTGGGTCGCTCTGTCCCTCACCATTTTATTGTCTGGGGACTTTTACTCCCATTTGTTTACATATTTACTCACTGATTACCTGTGGTCCCTTGTGACTCAATGAAAGCTCGGTGGGGACAGAGCCCTTGCCCTGTGCTTCCCTCTGTCTCCATTGCGGGGCAGCCCCTGGCGCTCATTAGGTGCTCAGTACGTGCACACATTGGGTGCTTGGTGCTTTTGTGCAAGTTGATGATGGGAGTCAGTGAAGGAGGGAGGTTGTGGGTTCCCTGGCACGTGGGCTGTGAGAGTACCCAGGGCCCGTTTCTGGGCGTCCAGGCCCTGGGCTGCAGTTGGCATGGCTGGTGCTCAGAGGACAGAGGCAGAGCCCCGTCCTCCTGCCGGGCCCAGCCTGGCTCCTTCTTGCGGTCACCATGCTGGCTTCTCTGCGTTTACTTCTGTTTCGTGCCTCGTCTCCCTTGTCCCAGGTCATCAACTTCCCTTTTCCAACCCCTCCCTCCGTGGAGGCCCTCATTGCCGCAGAGGAGCTGTTGATCGCGCTGGGTGCCCTGCAGGCGCCGGAGAAAGCAGAGAGGTAGGGCAGGGGCGAGGGCGGGGGCGGAGAGCCTAGTTCCCGCCTTGTTCTCGGCACGCTGCCCCTCCCTTCCCCTCTCCTGAACTGCCCTGGGCACTGGGGCCTCTTAGCTCTGGCACCAAAGCCGCCTGGAGGAGCACGCAACCGCAGACCTCTGTCCTCCAGGATGAAGCAGCTGCAGAGGTCCCGGCTGAGCTGCCCCATCACCACGCTGGGCAGGACCATGGCCACGTTCCCTGTGGCGCCCCGCTACGCCAAGATGCTGGCACTAAGCAGGCAGCACGGCTGCCTCCCCTACGCCATCACCATTGTGGCTGCCATGACCGTCCGGGAGCTGTTCGAGGAGCTGGACAGGTGGGGCCTGGGGGCTGGGCGTTCAGGGGCCCCTGGCCTGAGAGGCAACCTGGAGCCCAGCTCCATGGGAGTAATGGCTCATGGGTGGCCTTGTGCAAGACCCCTGTCCTCCCTGAGCTCGACAGCATTCTGATCTCTGCAGAACTCTGTTTTAGTAACATTCCTCAAGCGGTGCTAGCGTCCAGGCTCTGTAGCATGATGGCTAAGCGCCTGTACTCGGCCAGGCACCTGGATTCAGATCTCCCTCTGCACTTCCAAGCTGTGTGGCCTTGGGAAGGCAGCTTCACCTCTCTGGGCTTCATCTTCCCCATCAGGACAATGGGGATGAGATGTTGATAATATTGAAGTTGTTGTTAGCTGTAAATTAGCACGAGTAAAAGACTTCAAACTGTGCCTGACACGAGTGTACATGTCAGCTGTTATTTTCAGGTTTGGGAACCACAAGAATAATTCCTTTATCCAGTGTACATTTGGTGGATATTACGTCAGTTTTCAGGGTTTTTTATTTTTCGTAAGCAGCACAGCAGTGTCTGACGTTCCTCGTTGGTGGGATTGCTTCTTTCTGTTACTCTCTAAACGTGGAATTGCTAGTTGGGAGGCATGCACGTTTCTAACCTTAGTGGCTGCCGCAGGTGAATTTTGAGCCAGAGTTTAAGCCCTTACTCGTGTTGATGAGCAATCCCACCAGGCATTCTGTCTGTCCCCAAGCCTGCGAGCCTGCCCTGATTGACAGCTGTGTTCCTGCCACTGTGGCCCCGAGGGCGGCCCGGGCAGTAACCCCGGTGATGTGTGTGTGTCTGCAGACCGGCTGCCAGCGACAAGGAGCTCGCCACGCTGAAGGGCAGGCGGGCCCGGGTGGCCCAGATGAAGAGGATCTGGGCTGGGCAAGGCGCTTCTTTGAAACTCGGGGACCTGATGGTGCTGCTGGGTGCGTGCCCGACTGTGGAGGGGGAGGGGAGGGTCAGGCGGGCCTGGGGTGGGGCGGCCAGTGAGTGAGCGTGCCCCCTCGTCCACAGGCGCCGTGGGAGCCTGCGAATATGCCGGCTGCTCACCCCAGTTCTGCGAGGCCAACGGGCTGCGGTACAAGGCCATGATGGAGATCCGGCGCCTGCGGGGCCAGCTGACCACTGCAGGTACAGCCCCCGCGTCGGCCTCCCGGGGCTCCCAGGTCCTCCGTCCACCGGCAGCACCCTGCCGAGAACTTGAGCTGGCCCTTTGAACGTTAAAACTTGTTCTGGGAAATGTTACCTGTGTACAGCTGATCCCCATTACTCACAGATTCCACGTTTGCGAATTCCCCTGCTCACTAAAATTTACTTGTAACCCCAAAATTAGCACTCGGTGCTTCTGTGGTCCTTCGATGACACTCACACGAGCAGCGTGCGTGGTCTCCTGTCAGGTCGTCCGTTGGTCTTGTCTTTTCCTTGGTGACATCTGTCTCATCACCCTGTGTCCCCGGCTCTGGCCTGGACCGGCTGCGTGCCACCTCCTGCCCAGCTGCCCCTGGGCCCCTGGCCTCATCCTGGGGTCCCACTCTGGAGTAGGGCTGGCGCTAGTTTGTTCTCTGGCTGTGGAGCAGGGAGCAGCTGGCGATTCTGTGCCCACCGCCCTCCTGCTCATGGTTGGGGCTGGCAGAGACGGGACCTGTTTGAGGCCACGTCAGGGCCGGGTTTGGGAGGCAGGGCTCCTGTGTCCTGTCCTAGATGCCTCCTTCCTTCTTACTTCTTTCCTTTTGTCTCTCTTTAAATTAAACAGTGTATTTCTTGCTGAAGGTTTTGAAGGGAAATCAGAGGTTTACGTTGCAAACCTGAGAATAAGGAAATCCACCCTGTCTTCGCTTTCCTTCCCCAGCCTGCTCCTCTGTCTTCTCTCTGCCCCTCTCTGCCCCCTCCCACTCCCAGCAGCAGCGCCCGAAGTCCCCTCTCTCTGCCCCTCCGCGGTGTCCCCAGAGCTTCAGCTCCCGTCCTTCCCTCCTGCGGAAGGACACAGTGTCGCCCTGGGTTTGTGCCTGGGCTCGGCAGCAAGGGTGACTGTCCCGTCGCGGCACCAGGGACCCTCGGGAGGAGAGGTGGCCTCCGCCGGTCGTGCACACTCAGAGAGGACGCCCCGATCTTCTGGGCAGGCTGCCTGCACTGAGGCTAACGGGAGTTCCAGCGCAGGCTGGGCAAGTCCCCTCGTAGCCGCTCGCTCTGCCACCCACAGAGGATTTGGGGTTTTGTCCTAAGGAAGACAAGCACGTGGGTGTGGGTGTGGGTGGGCAGCGCGTTCTGCCCTGCTGAGGTCCCCCAGCAGGGGCCAAGATAAGCAGGTGCCTGAGGCTGGAGCTCCGTGTCGAGTGGTGTGGGGCCTTCCAGAAGGTCAGGGCAAAGCCAGCCCCAGGCTGCTGCCATCCTCACAGCGGGCTCTCCCCCCAGTCAACGCTGTGTGCCCTGAGGCCGGGCTCTTCGTGGACCCCAAGATGCAGCCGCCTTCCGAGAGCCAGGTGACCTACCTGCGGCAGATCGTGGCGGCCGGCCTGGGCGACCGCCTGGCCCGCAGGGTCCAGAGTGAGGATCTGCTGGACGACAAGTGGAGGAACGCCTACAAGGTTGGTCCCTGGCGGGGCACGGGCGGCGTGGCAGTCGCTGCCCCCAGGCGCCCCCACTGCCCTGCCCTCTCCACCCTCCATGTGTCTCTCGTCCCCCCAGCCTGGGCATCGTCAGGACACCTGGTGAGGGGTAGCCGGGGGACCCGTGGGGGTCTGGGTGGGCCTGTCCTCCTCCGTCACGGGTCCCACAGCCTCAGGGAACATCCCCACCAAGGAAGAGGGTGGGGTGTACGGTGGAGTCAGTCTTGCTTTGGGTGTTAGCTTCACCCCCAACTTTGTTTTTATAACAGCTTAATTGAGATGTAAACCATGGACTGTACAATTCACTGGTTTTTAGTATATTCACGGTTCCGTAACCGTCACCACAAGCACATGTAGAACACGTTTATCACCCCGAAAAGAGACGCCATGCCGATTAGGAGTCACTCTCCCTCTTCTCATCTCCCCACCCCGTGAAGCCACCTTCTGTCTCTGGATTCGCCTGTTTAAGACATTTTACATAAGTGGAATCGGACAGTGTGTGGCCTTTTGTGTGTGGCTTCTCTCACTCAGCATCCTGTTTTTGAGGTTTGTCCATGTGTAGCAGCTGTCAGAACCCGCACCAGTATCCTCCGTGGCGGAACACTCTTCGTGACACAGACGCCCACGTTGGCCCGTCTGTCCGTCTGTGGATGGAGCGCTCTCACGCTTCTCGGGCTGAGTGTGGAGCTGCACTCACGTGGCTTCATCTCACCTGGTGCTTGTGTCTCCTGGACTCACGTCCACTCCCTGTCTCTCCGCAGACCCCGCTCCTCGACGACCCCGTCTTCATCCACCCCAGTTCCGTCCTTTTCAGAGAGCTCCCCGAGTTTGTGGTCTACCAGGAAATTGTGGAGACCACCAAGATGTACATGAAAGGTAGCAGAGCTGGCGGCCGGGCCCTCGCCTCACCCATGTGGCTCTGCTGAGCTGTGTCCACTGTGACCCCCAGCCTTTCTCCCCTGGTCCCCAGGCGTCTCGACCGTAGACGTGCCATGGATCCCAGTCCTGCTGCCCTCTTACTGCCAGTTTGACCAGCCGCTGGACGAGCCACCCCCCACCTACTGCCCCGAGAAGGGGCGGGTGCTGTGCCACCGGGCCAGCGTGTTCTGTGAGTTGGGGCGACTTCCTGGTGGCCTTGGGCTCCGGCAGACACATGGTCCCCCACCCTGCCCTGGAAACTGTGTGACACGGGTAGTGTCATCCCAGGGCACCTGCGCCTTTGATGGGTGGGGCCCGGGGCTCAGGGAAGGACTTGGGGGCCGTGGGAACCCGTCCCCGTCCCTCGCTCAGCGGCTCCCGCCCTCCAGATCGCGTCAGCTGGCCACTCCCCGCGGTCCAGGTGGACTTCCCAGAGGGCATTGACCGCTACAAGCACTTCGCCCGGGTTCTGCTGGAGGGGCAGGTATGCGGCCCTGCGGCTCCCTCAGCCCTTCTTTGGTGCCGTGGCGGGGTATGAGCCCGGGGTCCCTCACCCTGTCTTGTGGTCTCTCCCCAGGTCTTCCGCAAGCTGGCCTCGTACCAGGGCTGTTTGCTGTCCAGCCCCAGCACGATGTTGAAGACATGGGCCAGGTACAGCCTTCCCAGAGCACCGGGGCAGTGAAGAGAGCGGGGACTAGTGTCCTGGGGTGACCATAACAGATGACCTCCACCTGAGGGGTTTAAAACAATAGAAGTGTCTTCTCTCACAGCTCTGGAGGCCAGACGTTCAAAATCAGGGCATGAGCAGGGCTGTGCTCCCTCTGAAGGCTCCAGGGGAGGGTCCCTCCTGCCTCCTGCAGCTCCTGGTGGCTCCGGGCATTCGTTCCTTGGCTTGTGGCCGCATTCCTCCCATCTCTGCTTCCCTCCTCACGTGGCCGTCCCTTCCGTCTGTGTTCTCTTATACACCAGTCCTTGGACTCAGGCCTCACCCCAGTGCAGTGTGACTTCATCTTAATTAACATCAGCAGAGACTCTTTCCAAATAAGGTCACATCCTAAGGTTCTGGGTGGACATGAACTTTTGGGGGGACACTGGTCAACCTACTATGGAGTTGCCAGGTGTTAGCCGGGGGCATCCTGCACACCTGAGCCCCTGGGGCCTTCCTGCCAGCTGAGCACAAGCCCACTTCCGTCGCGCCCATCCTCCTCCTCACTGTCCTCCTCCCCCTCCTCCCAACTCCTCCTCCTCCTCCTCCCCCCCATCTTCCTCCCCCTCGTCCTTCCCCTCCTCCCCACCTATCCCTGCCCCTCCCTCTTGTTTTCTTTCTGCCCACTGCTCAGCCCCAAGAAGACCCCTCCCCTTCCCGAAGCTGGATGATGCGGGGCCCTGAAGGTGCAGGCAGGTGCCTCCCTCCCTGTGGCTTGGGCCCCCCTCCAGGCTGCTGCCAGCCCATTCATTCACCCAGCAGCCCGCTCTAAGCGCCCGCCCTCTGCTGGCACGTTCTCGTGCTAGGAGGCGGGCACGACCCCGTCCCCATGGGGGTGTTCCCGCACATGGAGGTGGACGCCAAACAGAATGTGACTAGAACATACGGCAGGTGGTGGCGCCACTATGAAGGGACAAAGAAGGGCATCGGGGACGAGGCCGCGGGCGGGGTTGGGGTGGTCAGGAGAGCCTGACTGAGCAGATTCGGGGACGGCAGGGCTGTGAGGCGGGCGGAAGCCTGGAGGAAGGTTCTGGGTGGGATGAGCAGTGGGTGCAGAAGCAGCCTGGGAAGGCAGGTGCTCGGGGAGCATGAGGAAGGCCAGGGCAGCTGCATCAGGGGCAGCAAAGACTCAAGTGATAGGAGGAGGTGGGGTCGGAGAGGCGATGGAGTCTAGATCATTCCATTGGCCGACACCCCTGGCGTGATGGAAGGAGTGTCTTCACCCTCCCGACAGGGCTGGCCTGGCGGTGCCGCCTGCCCACTCCCATGGCTCCTGACCAGGCCCATCGGTGGCCAGCATGGTGGCCTCTAACCCACGTCCCATCCACAGGCTCCAGCCCAGGACAGAGAGCCTCCTGAGAGCCCTTGTAGCTGAGAAAGCTGACTGCCGAGATGCCTTGCTGGCTGCTTGGAAGAAAAACCCCAAATGTGAGTTTGACCAGCGTAGGTGCCCGATGGTTCAGGGTTGGGAGTGGGCAGGATGGGGCCCACTGAGGCCGCCCAGGGTCGGGGGGGTCTGCCCTGCAGTGAGCACCTGGCACAGGGCCACCCTGACACTGCCTCCCCACCTGCCCCACAGACCTGCTGGCCGAGTACTGCGAGTGGCTCCCGCAGGCCATGCACGCCGACGTGGAGAAGGCCTGGCCGCCCACCCCTGACCGCTGAGTCGACGCCTGGCCACGGGGCCGAGGGCTGCTCTGGAGCCCAGGGGCTGGTCACCCTGGCGTGGGACTACTCCAGGAGGCGGGTCCAGCCCGATTCTGGACACAGCCTGCTCCTGCCCTGGCAGTCTGACCGAGGTGTGACTTTTTTTTTAAACTATTTATTGCGTGGGTTGCGTGGTGGATGATGACTTAGCTCCCGTGCTCATGCCGTTTTAAATGTGCCCTGTGGACTTCATTCGTCCCCCTGGCCTCCCCCACAGTCCACACCCTCCCGTGTGGAAGGGTGACAGCATGGAGCAGAGCATCTCCCCCCGGTGGTCAGCCCCTGGGCGGCAGGGAGCTCACACTGCACCCCGCAGAGGGTGGGCTTGTGCTGGGCACCCACACAGCTGCCCTGCTGCCCTTGAAGTGGAGCCCCCGGGACCCTGCCCCCTTCCATTCCCTCCCCCTTTTCTCTGGTGGTCAAGGAGGAAAGTAGAGGGGCAGAGGGGGGTCCCTGGGCAGGACAGAAGGACGAGAGGGCTGTGGGCTGGACCGAGGCCATGCCCCTCCATCCTGCAAGGCGAGAGACAGAATGGACTCGTCACCAGCGTCCTGCTTCTGCTGCACACGGAGGCGGCGTCACAAAATAAATATCCCTTCCGCCCAGACCCTTTTGTCCTTGACTCGGGGAAGGACGCAGCAATGGACACTTGGCCGCTCCAGGGGCGTGGCTCGTCGGCCAGGCCTGCCTGCTGCCCGACTCCGGCTCCTGAGGGAGGCCCCCTCACTGGTTCTCCACCTCCCAGGCGTCTCTCGAAGGCCTTCACGGGCTGCCTCTTCCCTCCCGCCCTTCAGACGGGGTGCCAGGCCCCGAGCTTCCACTCCACACCCCTCCCCGGCCCCGGGTGGCCTGCAGACCAGGCTGCTCGACCCGTGCCTGCCGTGACTGAGGGCAGCTTTACCTCCTCGCTGATGTGTAGAACTGCAATATTTCCCACTCACAAGTCCCGATCTCCAGCTTTTCTACAAAACTCTGAGCACACAAGTGCTGGCAGTTCCCAGGTGACCGTGGGAGCCGTCCTCTCGGTGCTGCGCAGCCTCCTGCCTGACCGCCCGGCCCTCCTCCATCTCACTCAGCAAAGGAAAACTGTTCTGATTAGGCAGGTTTTTAAAAAAGATTTTTGAGATATAATTAACGTACCATGAAATTCACTGTTTTAAAGTGTATAATTCAATGACTTATGTTCACAGTTGTGCAGCTGTCATCACTGTCTAATTCTAGAGCATTTTCATGGCTCCGAAAAAAATACCCGTACTCAGGGGCCGGCCCCGTAGCTGAGTGGTTAACTTCTCGGCTCTGCTTCGGTGGCCCAGGGTTTCACCGGTTCGGATCCTGGGCACAGACATGGCACTGCTCGTTGGGCCATGCTGAGGTGGCATCCTACATGCCACAACTGGAAGGACCTACAACTAAAAATATACAACTGTGTACCGGGGGGATTTGGGGAGAAAAAGGAAAAATAAAATCTTTAAAAAAAGAGGAAGAAACCTGTACCCATCAGAGTCAACCCCACTTCCTCAGCTGTAGGCAACCACTGATCTGTCTGTCTCCATAGATGTGCCCGCTCTGGGTGTTTCTTATAAAGAATCACACCACATGTGGCCTTTGTGTCTGGCTTCTTTCATTTAACAACCCTTTCAGGTTTCATCCAGGTTGTAGCAGGTGTCAGCTCTTGATTCCTTTATGCCTGAACGATATTCATTGTGTGGATCTACCACATTCTGTTTATCCATCCATCTGTTGATGGACATGAGTTTCCACCTTTTGGCCATTGTGAATAATGCTGCTATTACCCAGTTCATCTTACTGAATTGTAAGAGTTCTGGAAACAAGTTCTTTATCAGATAAATGATCCGCAAATACTTTCTCCCATTCTGTGAGCTGTCGTTTCACTTTTTTTTTTTTTTTTTTTTTGGTGAGGAAGATTGGCCCTGAGCTAACATCTGTTGCCAATCCCCCTCCATTTTGTACGTGGGATGCCACCACAGCATGGCTTGATGAGCAGTGTGTGTAGGTCCGCACCCAGGATCCAAAGCCATGGTCCCCCTGGGCTGCCAAAGCAGATCATGTGAACTTAACCACTATGCTGCCATGCCAGCCCCTGTCTTTGCCTTCTTGATAGCGCCCTTTGAAGCACAAGAGGTTTCAGTGGATCCGGCTTACCTGTTTTTTCCTTTGGTTGCTTGTGCTTTTGGTGTCATCCAGGAAACCAGTCCAATGTCATGAAGCTTTTCCCTTGTGTTTTCTTAAGAGTTCATAGTTTCAGAAGAGTTCATAGCTCTTAGGTTTAGGTCTGTCATCCATCTGGAGTTCATTTTTGTAAACGGTGTGAGGTAGGTGGCCAACATCCTTTGCGTGTGGTTATCCAGTTGTCCCACCACTGTCTGTTGAAGAGACTGTTACTTCCCCCGTTAAATGGTCTTGGGACCCTTGTCAAAAATTTGCTAATCATAGATGCATGGGGTTTATCTCTGAACTGACTAAAGAATTTTTGCACGTTATGAAATTCAGAATTTTCTAGCAGAAACATGAATCCCCATCCCAGAGGCACCCCCCTGTAGCCAGTTTCCTGCCTGGGAATCGGCACAGGGGCATCTGAACCCCCGGCTTCCTCAGCACATCACCGAGATTCCCTCTGCTCCGGAGTGGCCCCGTCCTTCCCAGCAGCTGCGCGATGGCCCACAGCGCAGCCCTGCCGCGGTTGTTAGCCCAGGCCCCAGGGATGGGCCTCTGGAATCATTTGCTGCTACAAGCAAAGCTGTGTTGGGTAGCCTTGTGTATGTGTCACTTCGTGTCTGTGTGAAAGATGGTCCCGTTGTCCTCCAGGGAGATTGGGCTTCCCACCGTGCTCTCCTCGAGACCATATTGGGCCACGTCACTGCCCTGCTTAAAACGTGGGAAGATTCTCCATTACTTGAGGGCTGAAGGCCACCCCTGTGACGCAGCTTCCAAGGGTGTGCGTGCACAGACCTTGCACCCCTGCGTCATCTCACACCACAGCCCTCGGACCACCCTGGACTCCTTCCATCTTCCCTCAAGCACCCTTGTCAGCCCCCCCAGGTGCTGTTCCCTCTCCCGGGACGCTTCTGTGCCTTGCTCCCTCGCGCCCTCTGGGTGGCTTCTCACCTTCAGGGTTAAGCCCCTCTGGACCATCCCCAGGGAAGCTGGCCTGGCTGCCATCCACTTAGGTGGGCAAGCCTGTGTCTCGCTCGTCATCTTGTGTCCCCAACACGTGGGAGTGCAAATGTTAGGAGAAAATTGCAGCAAATTGTAAAAAGAAAAACCTGAAGCCAAACAGGCGTCCCAGGAATCTAAAGGAAAGGGAAGACGTCTGACGTCGGGGAAATTGTCGATCATGTGATGTGGAAAATGATAGAAATGAGGTCAGGAAATGAAAAAATAGACAAATATTGCCAAACATGATAAAGAAACAACATACCAGTGGATGAGCTATTGCGATATGAGAAAAAGACGAGAGAGAAGGCTGTGGCGAGGGGAGCTGTGAAAGCCCGTCTCAGTGGCTGGTAGGTTCAGAAAGATGCTCAACCTCGCAAATGGGCAGGAAATGAACATCAAATCAGTAATGCAATAACAGCAGATCCAGAAAACATTAAGAATCGTGGCAACACCCAGCACTGGTGAGAACATGGGACAAAGCATCTTCACAGTGTTGGTGGCTGTGGGAATCGCCACAGCCTTGGGGGAGAAATCCAGCAGTATTTACAGTAAAAACACAGTGCTCCACGGGGGCCTTCGCGCAGAGACGGGAGCCAGGAAGCAAGCCTCACGGATGGGTTAGATGTTGACCACAGCTCCTCAGGAGACAAAGCACAGGGCGCTGAGTGACGGCTGATCGGCTGAGGGGAGTGTGGTACACTACTCATACAAATGAGCCTGGTCTCTGCTCACCTGGAGGGACTCCCACTGCCCATCAAGTGAGAAAAGCAAGTGTCAGCGTAAACTGCATGATTCCACTTCAGGAAAGACAGCAGACAGCCCCAACCGTCCCCCGCCCTCACTGCCGTGTATGATACTGTGAGAGAGGGAGACGATGTGAAAGGCACCCAACTGATTATCTGGGGGGTCGGGGGGGTTAGAGGGACAAACTGAAGAAATAAGAGAAGAAAAGAAAACAAATTCACATTGCAAGACCAAAGAAATCATAGGAAAACAGCATGAAGACATACGTGGAGGATGTTCATGACAGATGCTGTTAACAGCAAAAATTTGGAAATATCACACGTGGAGAGGGTATTAGTAAATTACGGCACAACCAGATTGTGAAATACTTTGCAGCCCTTCAACGTGATGTCATAATGCCATCAACACAAAGCAGCATCTCAGAAGTGCCCTGAGTGAAAACAATCTGGCTACACAGCTGCCCGGCGAGCTCCTGTCTGTGCCGCGCGAGAGGAGCTCACATGGCCGGCCGCAGCGCCTCCTTAGAAAGCCCAGCTGGCGGGCTGGGCCCTGGGCTGGGTCCCGGAACTTGGGTTTCAGGAGGATTCTCACTGCTCTCTGACTGATAAGGGTTGGCTCACTGCGCCCACACTGTACAAATGACATGGCTTGTGCTCCACACCTGCTTTCCTTTGGGGAGTCTGACATTTTGCTGCAAGCCGGGCAGAGGATGCCAGCGTGGTCAGACCCCCGTGACATCCTGGCGTGCTGAGTCTCTCAGGGGCCTCCCTGGGCAGAAGCTCTGAACACGTGCTGCTCTGTTTTTGTTGTTGGGGGAAGCGTGCCCCGGTGTCCCCCATGGCAGGGAGAGAACATGAGGAAGCCCACAGGTGGATTCCTCCAGACGCCACCAGTGTCTTCTCCCTTAAGATCCGAGTGTGTATCCTCCCTACACTGTTATCATAAATCTCAGCTGTGAGAGCAACTGTACACCGAGTGCAGTGGATCCGTCTAGAGAACCTCTGAATGTGGGGGTGGTCATGGGGACATCCTCCCCGGCCCACACGTGTGTATGGAAACATCTAGATGGCGCTCGGGACCTGTTAGGATGGTCATCTGGCACCGTGAGTCTGGAGAGGCAGTTGATTTCCTCTCACTTAGGTATTTTTCCTAAGTCAGTTTGTGCTATCACAATGTAAATGCATAAATTCCATCATATAAATACATAAATAAAACAAGACAACAAAGATCCACGTTTAATATTCCAAAACTCTTCCGCTTCTCCACAGCCGGGCCTCTAACCCCATCCCCCAGCCTAGGAGCCCTCCCCCACTCTCTCTCTGTCTCTCTACATTCAAGCCGCCTGCAGGTTCTGTGGGCTCCACCTCCAGCCTTTATCCAGGACCCCCATGCTCACCACCTGCACTGCAAGCCCCCACCCACCTTCCACAGCCTGCCTCCCCCACTGGCCGCCTGGGCCATGGCTGTGGCTTCCTCGCTGGTGTCTGGTGTCCACCCTGCCAGCCCGTGGTGTATTCTCCAACATGGCAGCCAGAGGGAGCCTTTTAAAATCTAAATCAGATCATGCCATTCCCCTGTATCAGGCCTTCCAGCTAAATTTCAACCCCCTCCTAAGCCCATAAACTACACTCCATGCACAAGGCTTTCTTTCTGTCCCTTTGACACAGAGCACACACACACACACACACACACACACCTTCAACCTCAGGGCCTTTGCACCTACCATTTCCTCTGTTTCTGCAGTTAGGCCTCCCTGACAGCTTGTCTACAGCATCCCCCTTCGGTCTCCATCTCATTGCTATTACTGTCTTCATAGAACTTATCACTACTCGCTTAGTGCTAGTCTTGGAACTGGAATATAAAGGCCAGGAGGGCGGAGAAACCTTACCTGTCTTATCCAGGGATATACTATGGTACTCGACGCTACCGGGGTACACAGTAGGTGCTCAGTGTGTGCACGTTACCTGGCATCAGGCGCTCAGGAGTCTATCGGGTGAATGGGCCGCTGCAAAACTCTCCTTAGAAACCCAGTGTTTTCCCAACTGCCTGATGACGTGGATAGCTAGGAGCATCTGTTTAAAGATGCAGATTCCTTGGCCCGCCGCCGACGTACTGCGCCCAACTCTCCAGCGGAGGGAATCCGGGTGTCTGCGATGCGGCTCAGGGACGGTTCCTAGAGCTGCCTGCTCCAAGGGAGCTCCGTCCTCAGGCTGGCTGATGGGGGCGTCGGAGACCCCTTCGCTGCTTGGCCTTCCCAACCGGTAACTGTGGTTTAGAGAAAAAGACTAAAACGTGGAGATGCCGGGGATTGAACCCGGGGCCTCATACATGCAAAGCATGCGCTCTACCACTGAGCTACATCCCCTGACTCTTAAGCGCGTTTTCCGGGAATGAGGATGTAGGAAGTCGCGCCTTCGCTCCGCTTGTACCTACTTCTTACTTTAAGGACGCTCAGCGTCTCCGTGGGCTCAAGAAGGTCTCTCGGAGCGCTGCGGGAGCTCGCTGACCCGGGGCGCCCGGCGCTGCGACTCCGGAGACCCGGCCCCGAGCAGACGGCAGCGGTAGCCGGAGAACCCGGTCCCCATATGGAGCGACCTGGAGAAGAGCGAGAACGGCTCGTCCTCGTTAGTATAGTGGTGAGTATCCCCGCCTGTCACGCGGGAGACCGGGGTTCGATTCCCCGACGGGGAGGCCAGGTGCATCTTTTAACTAAAAAGAGACTCGTCACCGCCGCCGCGAGGTGCTCTCTGACACGTGCTCTGTGCAGACGCACGAGGAGCCGTCCGTCCCCGTTGTGCCTGGAACCGTGTAAATTAGGGCGCCTGCGAGAGGTGCCGTGCTGCCCCGGAAGGCGCTGAGCCAGAAAAGCTGCGTCCTCAGCGGAGGCCCCAGTAGGTGTGTCCATATCTTGGAGTACGTTTCTATTTCCTTTTCTGATCGGCATCACAGTGACAGCAGCTCACCGCGACCTCGTTCCCACCGGGCGCCGGGCGGCGTCCGTGCGGCCCGTGCAGGCGCGCTGCTCCCCCCGGGGCGGTGTCTGGCCGCCTCGTCCTCCCAGGGCGGTGTGGGGCCGCCTCGTTCCCCCGGGGCGCCGTGGGGCGCGGCCCATGGAGAGGCCCCGGCCGCCGCACCGTCCGCTCTGCGCCCCGCTGCCCTCGGGGGAGGAGGGCGGGGAGACGGGGGCGACCCCGACTTCCCCCCCCCCGCCTCTCTGGACTGTTTGAAATGTGTCTTCCCGTCCCCCTCCCTCCCTCCCTCCCTCCCTTCCTTCCTCCCTCCCTCCCTTCCTTTCTTCTCCACTCCGCTTCTGTCGACACGATGCACCTGAACGGTTTGCAAAGACCGGCTGCGCCGCCCCGAAGCGCGGCCTGGGCGCCCCTGCTGCGCCCCTGCTCCCGAGGGCCGGCGCGTGTGCTCGGTGCACCGCCGCCCCCGAGCTGCGGCCCGAACAGCGGCAGGTGCGGGAGGCTCTGTCTGCGCCCCCTTCTCCGCCTGAGGACGGGGCCCACCAGAGCAGCTCGTGCGCACAGATCCCCTCCCGGGAGCCCCGCCAGCCAGGTGACTGGCTCTCGTCGCAGGAGAGGAGACTAGGACTTGACACCAAACTGCGTCACAAGCTGTCACCTCCCAGCTGTCCTTCCAAGGCCCGGTCGTCTTTCCTAAAATCCACTTCCTCTCCGCTGAGGCCTGCGTTCCCGTGCCCTTCCCCGGTTAACGCACTATAGAAACTCAAGTCTCGCAGCTGGTTTGGGTTTAGTCGCTATTTAATCCTGTGATGCCCCGTACATGTGATATTAACAATTCATTAGAAACCAACTTGTCTTTTGGGGGTGAAGAAAACATTTATCTGAAGTTCAGTAACTCTGTCCGTTTCATTATGATTTCTTTTTCTTTTGTTAAATTAAAATAAAGTTAATGTTGATGCTTTTTGTTAAAAACGGGATATAGAATGTGATCCTATTTTAATAAAAATGAAGCGCCCATCTCTCTCTCTCCCTTTCTCTCTGTTTATGTCTGTAGAGGTGGAATTCCGTCAGCTGCTCTCATGAGGCTGTTTCTCAGCAGCGGAATGTGGGCGTGCATCAGCCCACCTGTTGATACTTTTCTGTGGTTTTCAATCTTGAGTGTATTTTGATAAAAAATCAATCATAAAAATAAAATGATGTGGCAGTGATTGTAGCGGACTGAATAGTAGCCTCCGCAAGATGTGTCCGCCTGGAAGCTAGGAGTGTGATCTTGAAATAAGGGCCTTTGCAGGTGTCATTAAAGTAAGAGACTCGAGAGGAGATCATCGTGAATTAGGGTAGGTCCTGAGTCTAGTGACACGTGTCCTTACAAGAGACAGAAAAGGAAAGGCCACACAGAGACGTAGAAGGACAGGGGCCGACGGGGGAGCGATGGAGCGATGCATCTAAAAGCCGAGGAGTGCCGAGGATTGCCCGCCACACCAGGAGCTCCGAGAGGTTTCATCCTCGAAGCCTCCAGGAGGAACCAACCCTGCGGACACCTTGACTTCAGACTTTTAGCCTCTAAACTGTGAGAATAAATCCAGTTTGTGGTCATTCGTTACAGCAGCCCCAGGAGACACAGTAATGATGACCTCGTGACTCATTTATTCAACAAATGTTTGTTGCCAGCTTCCTCTCTCCTGGTCATTGGGCTGACATGTTTGAGAAGAACGGGACAGACTGCATGAACTGAATGATTGGGAAAGAAATTATGAGGAAACAAAACAAAGTGAATAAACCATTTTAAAAAGTAGTAACAATGGTCATGAGACTGGGATAGCATTTTACCTTCTCAGTTGTTAATGACATCAATTACATTTCCAAAACACATTTTGCTTTAGGATCACTGTAGATTCATGCCCAATGGACACTGAAGCCTGCTCTTCTCTCAGATGTGCAAGGCTGGGTGTGCTGTACTGCTGGTCTGGCTGTTTGGAGCTGGATCTGGCCAGACCTGACACCTGATCAGAAATGAACACACTGGGCTGTACCTCTGAGAGGCCATTTGCAAGGCCTCTGCAGGAGGATCTTCAGAAGGGGACCTATTCTCGATAGAGAGGGAGCCAAGGATTCCAGAAGGGAGACAGACATTCCTATTTCTCCCAGACCCTTGAAATCAGAAATCTTCCCCCATCCAGGAAAATGCAGCCACGGTAGGTGTTAGGACGGGCAGGCGGGTGTATTAGTTGCCGCAGCTTCCAAAACAAAACACCACAGATGGAGTGGCTTAAACCACAGATGTATTCTCTGAGTCCTGGAGGCTGGAAGTCTGAGATGGAGGTGCTGGCGTTTGGTTTCTCCTGAGGCCTGTCCCTGGCGTGCAGGGGGCTGACTTGGCGCTGCGACCTCACATGGCAGTCCCTCTGGGTCCGTGTCTTAGCCTCCTCTTAGAAGAATACCAGTCCTGCTGGAGGAACGACCCCTTCTAACTTCATCACCTCTTTAGAGGCCCCGTCTCCACATCCGGCCGCGTTCTGAGGTGGCTGGGGTTAGGGCTTCAACACAGGAATTCGGAGGGGGCACAATTCAGCCCATCACATTGGGTTTGGGGACACTGAGAGGACTCTGGTTTGCTCCCGCAAGTTCAGGAAAATGGCCATCTCCGAGTTTCCATTTGGAAGTCTAGCTGGCGTCTCAAAACCTCAGGCCTCTGTGACAGAGTCTCGATTCCCGCACTCAGCCTGCGGTGCTCCCGCCCTGGCTCCAGAGCATCCAGCAGCTGCCTGGTAGTGCAGACCAGCCCCTTGGTGTCATCCTTCACCCTTCCTTTCCATTACTGCTGCATCAGATACACCCCCCTTCCCCTCTTCAGCTCTTCCAGGCTGACTTTCTTTCTGTTGCTCCAACTAGTTGACCTTGTTTCAGCCTCAGGGCCTTTGCCCCTGCTGTCCCCTCTGCCCAGAGGCTCTCCCTGCAGCTCCCGGCACAGCTGGCTCTTCACTGTTCAGGTCTTCCCAGCTCTCTCCTCCTCTCTCTTCTCGTCCTGCTCCCACCCCTGGCATCCCACCCCATCACGACGATTTATTGTACTTCTCAGCATTACTCTTGTACCCAACTATCCTGTTACTGTATTTGTGGATGGGCCAGAGGGTCACTGGGTGCTCAGCAAACACATCATGAAGGACCTCCCCACTTGCTCATCAGCTCCCAGACAACACTCCCCACCCACCCATTGCCCAAAGGGGAGGGATGCAGATCTGAACCCTGATGCCCACCTGTCGGTGTCCCCATGCCAGGCTGCCGAGCAGGTGCCGCAGGGGCCACAGGTGCGGCCGCCGTGATTGCAGGCCGGATGTGAGTCACTCATGGCCCCAAGGAAAGCCACCTTCTGGCCAATGCGTCCTCCCACGCGCCTTGGCGTGGTCAGCATCCCTGCCATACCTTGGGCTGCTTGGGAAGCTGGCCTTGTTTCTTCGCACAGAGAAGGGAGCTTGAAAAAGCAAAGCTCTGAGCCAAGTAGGATTCATTCATTCGTTCTTTCGTTCATTAATTCAGCAAATATTTATTAAGCACCTGTTATGTGCCAGGCACTGCTCCAGGCCCTGAGGGATACAGCAGTGACACAGGCAGATGACTTCCCTGCTCCTCCTGGGTCTGTCCTAGCTGGAGAGACAGGTATTGGAAAAGGAAAACAATACATAAGCTAACAAACAATAAGGGGCTGGGGTCTTGTTTGGAGGAGTGGTCAGGGAAGGCTTCTTGGAGGCGGTGGCCTTAAAGGACGCGAAGGGGCAGGTGCAGGGCGAGCCTGGCGGTCACGGGTTCCACCTGCTCCTGGTCTCGCGGCATCTGGTCCCCAAGTCGAAGACCCAGGGCCGTCAGGACGACGAGGAGGAGAGAATCGCAGCCGACCGCCAACAGTGGCCGAAATAGCTCAGTTGGGAGAGCGTTAGACTGAAGATCTAAAGGTCCCTGGTTCGATCCCGGGTTTCGGCAGCTGGTGGCTTTTTTTTTTTTTTTTTTTTGTCTTTCCCCCAAGAGAAAGAGGCGGGGGGCAGGGAGTGAATAGACGAAGCCGATTCTTCCCAATGAACGAAGACATTTCACTTTTTTAGTTTCAAACAGCTCCGAGCAGCAGCCACGGGAAGCCAGAGGGATGGAAACTTGCGCGCAACTCCTCATCCGGGGATATCCACCAAGGCCGAGTTTTTCCTGACCCCATTTCTTTAATTTCGTAAACGTTTATTAATCTCTGTTGCATGTTTGTTGATGTCTGTCCGTTAGTTTTTGCTGTTTATTAACGTCTGCTGTCTGAACCTAGCGGCTAAATCAAGGATCCGGCAGGAAACGGCTTCTTTAAGACGGAATTAAGCCAAACGGGACTTTGCATTCTTTGGTTTTGTAGGAAAAGATAAAATATTGAACCATTGGAAACATATTACTATTTAGGGGAAGCTAAGCATGCCTTAAAGGGGAGGTCTGAGGAGCGGCGGGTAGCGCCCGTCCTCGTTAGTATAGTGGTGAGTATCCCCGCCTGTCACGCGGGAGACCGGGGTTCGATTCCCCGACGGGGAGGCTGTCTATGTTTTACCATTCGTCTCTATTTTTTTCTTTTTTCTTCTAAACAAATAAAATTCTCCAACTGCCGTAGAAATTCCTTATTCTCCTCGCGAAGAATACACCCGACAGGCAGGCGACACTCCCCCTGACAGCAGTTGCCTTTCGGCAGCTTAGTCCCAGGCACGCTCTGGCTCCCCAGTGTCACGTGGTTGCAAAAAAGAGTCCCCGTTCTTTCGCTGAAGCGGTGTTTTCGATTCCTGCAGGCCCACGGCGCGGCCGCAGAGCGTTAGCTGTACATGATCGTTTCCCAGAAACCGTCAGGTTCTCAGCCCGGAGCTGCTCGCTCGGCTGCAAACCTCCCCTCTTCCTACGTCCTTCCAGCCCAGAGCCTGGCTCTCGGAAAAGGTTTAGGGATTGAGGCAGGAGGCGGGGTGCCTCCAAACAGGAACGTTTTCTCCTCTGACCTTGCAGACTCCACCTCTGAACACAGCGCTCCCGCTTCCCAGGCTCCCGCGCCTGCCTTCCTGCGTTTGTCTGTTCGCTTCACATTCATCCCTCGCATCGGTGCTGGGCACCCGGGATGCGCCAGGCGCTGGGGATCCAGCAGGAGGGAGACTAGGCCCTGCCCTGCTGAGCCAGGGAGCGACGGAGGGACGCAGACAGTGAACAAGTAGAAACACAGCTTTTGAGGGTGGCAGATGCTGTGAAGAAAAACAATGCATGGGATTCGTCGGCCCTTTAGAGAGGAGGCCAGGAGGGCCTTTCCGAGGACCTGGACAATGAGAAGGAGCCGATCACAGAGATCTGGGGAACCGCATTCCAGGCAGAGGGAATGGCAAGTGCAAAGGCACGGAGGTGCAGAGGAGCCTGGCATGCCTGGGGAACAGCAAGCAGGCAGCTGTGGCTGGAGGGCCCCCAGGGAGGAGGAGCAGAGCAGGGATGTTAGCAAGGTCCACAGAGGCCAGATCACAGAGGGCAGAGTGCGGAGTATGGATTTGACTCCGAGAGTTTTATGCGGCGGGGAAACATAACTGAGTTTGCTTTGAGCAGAGCTGTCTGGCGAGAGAGCAAGCAGGGGCACTTCCAGAACTGCATACAACCCTTTAGCTCCCTCCCAAACCCTGTCCAAAAGAACGCCATCTGTGGCGCCATCTTTCTGTGGCCAAGGTCGCTCTCTCGTGGCTACCTCCTTGAGCTAGAGGATAAGGACAAAGAGCGGCTTACGTAGAGCCCTATTCCGCACCTCGCCCCGCTGCCCTCCTGCTCATCTGTTCTGCTTCACTAAAACCATCAGCAAAGCACCAGCTCACACCTGGGGTGAAGATGAGACGCAGGGCCCTTCCCGGGATTTCACATCCTAACAACGTGTACAATAAAGACGACTCACGTTTCCAAGCCCGGACCCTGTGCCAGGCACTGTTCTAAAGCTTCTACGTGTAACTCGTTCAATGCTCACAACCCCCCTGTGAAGCAGGTCCTATTCCATCTCCATTTTACAGACGAGCCCAGAGGAAGTCACAGCTGCTGGGTCCAGCATCCTGTGCACCAGCTCACTTAGGCCTTTAGCTGCAAAGGGTGTCAGGCCTCAGCACGCTGGAAGGGAGCTGACTGCGGACCAAGCCGGCAGGACATTTTTGGGTGGGGTTCTCCCTAAGTCACTGTTTCCTGCCAGGAAATCTCAAGCGCTGGTGGAAAGAGGTGTGGCCTTCAGTTTGGAGCCCTCTCCTTGCCACTCACCTGCTCCTTCCCCACTGGGTAGCCCTTGGTGACCCCAGCAGGATGCTAAGTATCTGGAAGAGAGGGGCTCCCTGACAGGTAGAGAATGGCGTTTTTCAGTGGGCTGTTGCAAAGAGGTCCCTTCCTCAGAGTTTAACCCGTCATCCTGAGGGCTGGATCTGCTTCCTTCTAGTTTGCTCATTTTTATATTCAGAAGAGTTCTTTTGGGAGAAAAAAAGGTCTTCACGCACATGTGGAAACCTCAAAGTCACCGAAGCTTGGAAGGGATTTAAAGGACAGGAAAGCAGAGATTTCTGGGTGGAGGTGCAGTCAGGGCAACACTCCTGCTTATTGGAAGGAAGCTTTCCTTTCCCTTCCCTTCTTTTCTGTCTGTGAGGAGAAACATTCAGGAACAGGGCTATTTCCGGTGTCAGCTAGAATTTCAGCTGCAAGGCTGTGAAGAACGGGTCTGCTTGGGAGACATAAAATGACTTATTTTGGTTTGCGTTTGCTAAACCCTAACATCCATTTAAATACTATACAAAATTCTAATTTAGAAAAAAAAAAATCTTAAGAATAGAGTATAGCAGAGAATTTCAGAAAACCTAGAAGCAAGGTCAGGGGATGTAGCTCAGTGGTAGAGCGCATGCTTTGCATGTATGAGGCCCCGGGTTCGATCCCCGGCATCTCCACTGCTGTTTTCCTGAACTTTTTCTTTTTAGTTTCTGCCCATCATTAAAGTGCCATGGATGTGATTATAACAAGTATTATCAAGTTATTAACAAGTACCCAATTACTACTTGGAGGTGGGATTTTCACAAGGCATGATCTTCTCTTTCTGAAACCCCCAACACTCCAAAGGTACTTTTGTCAGAAAAGGAGCAGTCAGCAGAAAAATGGAAAGGCAAAATCTGACACCACAGGTTTGGGGAGTTTCCCGCACGGTTCCTGGCCTCGTGACTGCAGGAAAGGCCTCGAGGCCTGGGGACTCATTCCTGGCCGTCAGAGGGCAAGTGTGTAAGCGAGGGAAAGCTCTGAGTCTCTGGGTGTCCGTGCGGTCAGCAACGGCCTTCTCAGAGGGAGCCGGAGCGTGCCCAGCAGGCAGGGTTTGCTCCCCGCTTCATCAGCAACAGGCCACGAAGGAAGGAATGAATGGCTTTGGTGCACATATCGTTTATTTTTATATTTATACACTGTATCTGTATTTTATCAATAAAAATAAAAGGTGTATTTTGTTGAAAGCAGAGATCCTGTTGTATCCTGGAGGTGCAGTCCTTTGTCTGCTGTAACAATGAATGAATTCTTTCCCCAGGAAGTCTTCTGTCTCATTTGACTTGACCTGGTGTTTTAAATCAGAAAACATCTCCTCTGAGATCTGGAGTGACCTGACTCTTTGCAAAGCCTTCACTTTCGAGATGACGACACTGAAATTCGTGAAATGACTCACCAGTTAGGTCGTGGGGGAGTGGTGATAGCCCCTGTTTCTATGGAGCTTCCGTGAAGGTTATTTCTCCCTAAATGTCAACAAGGTTTTAAGGGAACAAAACGTTGAGGTTATTTCTAAAGTTATCACATCTAACACAAAACCAATTATGTTTCTGTTTTACTTTGTATCTTATAATTAAGCATTTCCCATAGTGCAGTGACAAGGAAAAAATACATAAGGCTTGTGTGGGGAAAGGCAGCTTCCTAGAAAAGTCTTTGTGAACCTTTGAAGAAAGTGTTTTTTAAACTACTACATTTTATTTTATATACATATATAAAAGAGCCCATTATTTGAGGTCCCTAGAGCAGTCAAATTCATAGAGACAAAAAGCAGAACAGTGGTTGCCGGGGGCTGGGGGAGGGGAGATGGGGAACTGGTTAATGGGTACAAAGTTTCCTTTTTGCCTGATGAAGAGTTCTGGAGATGCCTGGCGGTGATGGTTGCACAGCAATGCGAATGTGGAAGGCCCCAGAACAGGCCGCCCTAAATTATGCTGCTTTGGTTTATTGATTTTGAGCAGTGGGTGCTTGAAAAACAGCAGGTGCGGGAGAGGCTTTCTCTGTGCCCCCTTCTCTGCCTGAAGACAGGTCCCCCCAAAGCAGCTCGTGGTCACAGCTCCCCTCCCGGGAGTCTCACCAACCAGGTGACTGGCTCTTGTCACAAGGAGGACACTAGGACTTGACACCAAACTATGTCACAAACTGTCACACCTCCCAGCGATTCTTCTAAGGCCTGGTCATCTTTCCTAAAACCATTTACTCTTCCCTGAGGCCTGCGTTCCCGTCCCCTTCCCCGACTGAGATGGTGCCTAAATCTAAATGCTAAAGCTCCTCTGGGACTCACTCATTCTCCCCTGGGTCTCTCTCACGCACACATGAAGGTGACACGTCCATAAACTTTTGGGCATTTTTTTCTCTTGTTGATCTTTTACTACAGGGGTCTCAGCTGAGAACTCTGAAGAGTAGAGGAAAAATTATTTCTCCTTCCCTCCAACATACTTAACACGACTGAATTGTACACTTAAAAATGGCTAAGATGGTAAATTTTATGCATACGTATTTTGCCACAATCTAAAAAAAAAAAGTCCCAATAGGTTAACTAACTCCTTAACGTTCCTAAACTAGGCAAATTCAGGGACTGGAACTTAAGGCTGATTTTCTGACTGGCAGGGGACGAAATTGGTTATTTTTAAACTGGAGCAGTTTGTGTTCTGGCACACAACACAAATGCACAAATGTAAACAGGAAAAAGAACAAAATCCCTTGGGCTTTTTTTTTTTCTTCCTAAGCTGCAGATACCCTTGACTCCCTTTTACGGTTATATAACCGATGACAAAGCAAGGCAAGCCTTTCCCACCCAGCTCTCCGATTTCACCCTTTCTCCTGGGAGGACACTGTTTGCGGCCCATTGTGCTCTGAGACATTCTCACGAGGCTGAGTGAAGCCCCATACTAGTTGTGACCTTCAGGGGAAACGAATGTTTTGGAGGAAGGAAGAAAGGCAGGCAGACACACAGGCACCAGTCCAACCCCCTCCCCGCAACAGCCCAACACCCAGGCCCTTTGTGAGCTCAGCCCATCACGTGCCCGATCTGCCCGCCAATCCCGCCCTGTTGCTGGCCTCTGTCACTTTCCCATTGGTGCCAGCTCTGAAGCAATTTCTTCTGGGGCGCCTGCAAAGGACGGATCTGTGTGGGCGGAAAGAACTGAAAATGGATCCAGGGACTCATCCAGCTTCTCGCACCTTCCAGCACACTGCATTCTGAGTCAGAGGCGTTCAGGTTTTAGGAGCGTGACTTGGTACCTGATTCCCGATTCCCGAGTCCGAGCGGGACATTTAGACCTTGGGAGCCCTTCTCAGCAAAGGGAAAAGCAGTGGCAATAACAACAACAAAAATCCTCTCTAGAGCAGGGTTCCTCAACCAAATTACGGACATTTAGGGCCTGGTGATTCTGTGTCGCGGGGGCCTGTCCACTGTCGGAAGTTTCATGGCATCCCTGGCCTCTACCACTAGATGCTAGCAGCGCCCCCCACCCCCACCAAGCACCACCACAGTTGTGACAGGCAAAAACGCCTCCAGACGTTGCCAGGTGTCCACGGAGGGGCAAAAATGATTCCCAGTTGAGAAGCGCTGCTCCAGAGGCACACCAGTCCCTCTCTTTGGGGGAGGTCAGCGCCGCCTCCCCTCTCTCGCTCAGTGCCCTGGGACAAATGTTTACTTCTATTTGCTTCAACAAAAACTCACTCTTGGACTTAAATTAGGGGATGCAAACGTTTTCAGAGAAGATTTTCTGCTAGAGAAAAAAAATCAGTGTTCTCAGCTCCGAAGAATGTTGTTTTCTCTTCGGAGCTGACCCTGGGCCTCTCCCCGCCCCCTGAGACGCTCTCCCCCCTCCTCGCCCTCAGAAATCAGGCCTGTTTTTCTCCATGCCTTTTGGACTCCGAAAGAAGCCACGTCACAAAGCGTGTGACTCAGCCCTTAAACGACATGAATCACAAGGCTTGCAGCCGAGCAACAGCCGAAAGCAAACAAGGTGTGGTTTGAAGTGAGGCCTGGCCACCGGAGAAAGAACCTCAGTTTTCGTTCCTTTGAAAACTTCTCCCTGGAATTTAGGGAGAAATAACCTCATAAAGAGCCTCTGCATGGTGTTCCTTTAAAACCTCTTTCCAGAAATTTAGAAAGAAATAACCTTCACCCAAATCTTTATTGGCAGTCGCTGGCGTCTCCTGCTTTCCTGAACAATGAATTCTATTTTTACCATTTATTTTAATTTCCTACTAATAAATTCATTCTCTTTGGACAAGGTTAAAAATCACAGAGGGTAAAGCATCTTCAGCACCGCTCATGGAAGTGAGCATGAGTGAGGCCATCTTGTTGTGCTAAGTGGCCCCAGCCCCTCCTCCGTGTGACCACTCGCCGCTCTGCACGTACTCTGCACAAGCATTCGCACGCCCTCCTGGTTTATGGCCTCCGCTTGACGTGGGTGCTCCCTGACAGCTTCACAAACTCAAACTTTGTTCTGTGAGTTTCCCTCCAGGCACGGGCTGCCCACAGGCGGGAGGCACACCCACTAGGCCTCCACCACAGCGGGCAGAAGGGAGCAACGTGATGCCCGCACCCCTCCTCGCTGCCCGTTCCCTATATTTGCCTCGAGACCCTGGAATCCTTGAAGACGGGTTTTTGAGACCTTAGTCACCCATCTTCCGATTTGCCGGAATTAAACTTCCTCTCTCGACCCCTAGCTGGTTGTGATTAATTGGCTCACACGGCGCCCATGGCTCGGCGTCCCTCAGCCCTTCTTCATAAATACACACGTACACGGCTTCCCCGGGGAGACGCAGGGCAGTTCCGTCTTGATTCCCATCTCAGGGAGAACGCTTAAATATTAAAGTGCTCAGAATTTAGAACAGGAGTGTGGTCTTCTCCTGATGGCAACAGCTTTCAGTCAGCGGCCTTTCTGTTTTCTTCCTGAAGCTTCCAGGGCGGAAATTAAAATGCCCTCCCTCCTGCTCATTTGTAGAAACAGGGAGTACTTCTAGAAGAGTCCAGAAGGAGCGGCCTGCAGCACGGGGGCACGAGGGGGCCTTCTCACCGCCAGCTCTCACAGACCTGCTTTACCTCTGCACCGTGCTCACGTGTTTTAAGACACTTTTCTCCGCTTTAATCAAAATGGGATTTGCCTCTGGAATTAAATATCGCGTGTGGGATACTGAGGGTTATTTCCCCAGAAACACACAGGGCCGAGACTCACTCAGCGTCTGTCTGAGCCTTGACCTAAATCTCTGAAACGTGAAATTTCCGAGCGCAGCTGCACAGCGACAGAGCTGACATTCGGGGGGCTCCTCGGTTATCATCGGGGACAAAGGTCCCAGGCGGAAGGCCAGGCGATCGCACAGCCGGGCTAGAACAATCTGGAAGGTTCTGCCCTGTCAGCGCCGGGGGTCTGACGAGGCCGGGAGGCATTCCCGCCTTCCTGGCCGGCGGCGGGCAGCCGGGCCCGAGCACCTTGTCGGGGGCGGGCGCGCCGCCGCCGCGTCCGGCCGGAAGCCGCGATCTGCCGAGTCATCCGCCCTGTCCCGGTGCCCGCCGGCGCGGGGGATGGGCTGGGGCCCCGGGGAGCCCGCGCCCGGCCCGGCCCGGGGGGAGGGAGTTTGGGGAAGCACGAACACTGCCGTTACTTTCAATGTCACCCTGTCAAGGGTCCCTCAGGGTCGCGGGGGGCGCGCAGGGCGCGTGCGCGCGAGGGGAGCGGGACCCGACTCCGCCTGAGGCGCTCGGCCGGAGGCCTGTCCGCCAGGGGCGGGTCCCGTGCCCGGGAGACGCGGGGTCGTTAGGGTTGAGGGGAGGGGGCGCTGGGGCCGGGCTGCACGGAGAGCCCGCTCCGGCCGCCCGGGAGACTCCGCGCCGGGTTTTCGCGCCCGCCGCGGGCCGCTCCCCCGCCCCCGCCGTCGAACGCCGGCCACGCCGCGGACGCAGCGCGCCGAGAACGCGGTGATCCCTCCGCCCGGCCTCTCAGGACTGCGGCCCCCTCCCCACCAGACTCCGCTCCAGAGCCCCGGTCTTAACAGGGGAACACTTCAGGAGGGGGATTAGGGGATTCCGGGGGGCTGCGCTTCTCTACAGGCAGCAGGAAGGGCTGAGAAAAGTAGTCCCTTCTAGGCGTTTCTGCGGAGGGATCTTGCGGGGCGGGGCCACGGTTGCTATATAAGGGCGCGCCGGGTGTGGTGCAGCCAGTTTCGTCCAGGCCGGGAGTTCGTTGCTTCCTCTTCTCTGCGTGCGGCTGTCATCGCGATTTGGTGAGGGGAGGCCGCTGCGGTGGCCGGGGCTCTCGCGGCTGTCAGGCTGCTGGGCGGGCGGGAGGCACGGCGGCGCGCCGCGGGCGGGGAGGCTGCCGAGGAGCTTGTCGCCGGGGCCTGCGAGCGTGGCAGCCCGGGGGGGTGGGGGGAGGGTGACGAGCAAAATGGCGGTTGCTTCCGGCTCCGAAGCGGGCAGGGAGGTTGGCGAGAGACGGCCGCTCGCGGGCGCAAGGAGCCGCGGAGGCCGTGAGCGGGGGAGCGCGGCGGCGCGTGGGGACCCGCGGGCGGGCCCGCGTCCGGCGGCCTGACTGGCGCGCAGCCCGGGCTTTCGTAGCGCGGCGGTTCCGGAGGACCCGGCACCGCGGGGGGAGAGGGTGCGGCCCGTGACGTCACTCTCTGTGGGCTCATAGGGGGCGTCCGCTGGGGGGCCGCGGCTGTCCCGGGCCTGAGGGAGACGCTGCCGGGCCGACGGGGGACGCGGGTCCAGCGGCGCAGACGTGAGGCTTCGGCTCGTGGGTCAGGTTTCCTGCTCTCCGGGGGGCACCGGAAGCGGGCGCGGCTCGCTCGTCAGGCCGGTGCCGGTTGCTCCCGTGAGGTGGCTTAGGGGAGACGTCTGTGGTGGTCGTTTGAGTCACGTGACAGTTGGCTCTGAGCGCGGGACCAGGTGGACGCGTGAGCCGCTTGCTCAGCGCCTGAGTTATTTCTTTATGTCTCTGTCCTGACAGACAATGCAGATCTTCGTGAAGACCCTGACGGGGAAGACCATCACCCTGGAGGTGGAGCCCAGCGACACCATCGAGAACGTCAAGGCCAAGATCCAGGACAAGGAGGGCATCCCCCCCGACCAGCAGAGGCTCATCTTCGCCGGGAAGCAGCTGGAGGATGGGCGCACCCTGTCTGACTACAACATCCAGAAGGAGTCCACTCTGCACCTGGTCCTGCGTCTCAGAGGTGGGATGCAGATTTTCGTGAAGACCCTGACGGGGAAGACCATCACCCTGGAGGTGGAGCCCAGCGACACCATCGAGAACGTCAAGGCCAAGATCCAGGACAAGGAGGGCATCCCCCCCGACCAGCAGAGGCTCATCTTCGCCGGGAAGCAGCTGGAGGATGGGCGCACCCTGTCTGACTACAACATCCAGAAGGAGTCCACTCTGCACCTGGTCCTGCGTCTCAGAGGTGGGATGCAGATTTTCGTGAAGACCCTGACCGGGAAGACCATCACCCTGGAGGTGGAGCCCAGCGACACCATCGAGAACGTCAAGGCCAAGATCCAGGACAAGGAGGGCATCCCCCCCGACCAGCAGAGGCTCATCTTCGCCGGGAAGCAGCTGGAGGATGGGCGCACCCTGTCTGACTACAACATCCAGAAGGAGTCCACTCTGCACCTGGTCCTGCGTCTCAGAGGTGGGATGCAGATTTTCGTGAAGACCCTGACGGGGAAGACGATCACCCTGGAGGTGGAGCCCAGCGACACCATCGAGAACGTCAAGGCCAAGATCCAGGACAAGGAGGGTATCCCCCCCGACCAGCAGAGGCTCATCTTCGCCGGGAAGCAGCTGGAGGATGGGCGCACCCTGTCTGACTACAACATCCAGAAAGAATCTACTCTGCACCTGGTCCTGCGCTTGAGGGGAGGTGTCTAAGGTCCCCCTTTTAAGCCTCTGACAAATTACATTGCACTTTTCTTTCAATAAAGTTGTTGCATTCCCAAATAGTGTGGGTTTTTTAATGTCATGTGAGGTTCTTTTTCGTTAGGGTGTGGTGCAAGGGATCATGGTTTCCAGTCTACCAAATGATTCTCTGGTAACCAAGAGTTAAGAAATACCAGTAAAAGATTGCCTTAATATAGAATTGTAGTGGGTGGGTACAAATAAAGACTAGGCAAATTAGAGGTTGCTTTTAGAATTTCCTGTATATACACATATATAGACATTTGAGGGCTACTGACATTAAAAATACTGAGTTTGGGGGTGGTTGTGAGGTACCTGAGCATGGGGAAGTTTCTGGAACACTAGCAGGAAGGAGATAAGAGGAGGGGTGATTGTGGTAGAAGGGAACTTACAGAAGTAGCTTTAATGTCTAGCTGTACTTAAATCCACGAGCTGCACAGAAGGTTGTCATCTGACAGACTTTAAAGAATATGGCGAGTATTGTATATTAAATAAAAATTACCTGGTAGGCATTATGCTAGTGTTTGGGCATTAGTGGTTATTTGAAATGTCATAATTACTGCTGAAGTAAGTTGTCAAGGTGATTCCTCGGTTTTCATGTGGCTACAGATAAAGGTTTGTATATAACTTCATTGGTGGTGGGTGGAGCATCTGGCCTTTGGTCTTAGTTTCCAGAAGTTTGTGGTGGTGGCATTTACCCACTCAGCTGGTGCTGATAAGGGATTATTTTTACGTCTTAACTAGAACCTAAGGTGGAGGTTGCAGGGAAGCTGGTCTAGTATAAGCAATTGGCCCTTGGTGATGGGCACCCCAGAAATCGGAGCCCCATCTAAGCGCTGGAAGGGATTGTCTTCTCCAGAGAGCACCATTCCCTCCACTGCTCCCTTGCACTCCCCCAGTTTTGGGGTATCCATGCATAACCTCTGATGTAGAAGGAAATTTTGTGTTGTCACTGCCAGTTGTAAAATGGCCAGAACCAGGTTTAAGTCCTAGGTTCAGGGATCACAACTAGAAAATTGAGGCCATTTGAGAAATCCATAAATCTTAGGCAAGTCTGTTAGTTTCTGTGGTTTTTCACAATAGGCTGGTAGAAGCATGTGTAACACAGTTTGCTGAATTTCCATCCCTTGCCCGTACAAGATAACATAGGTCAGGAAGCAACATTACAAGAACCCCAGGAACTTCACCAGCAGCTGTAACCAGTTACCAGTTACGATGCTAGGAGTTTTTGTGCAAGTGATTTTGGTGCTTGTTAGAAATGAGTGGTCGTAGTACAGGGAAAACATCTTAATAGCATCTTGAAAATGACCGCTCTGCAGGACAGGTGGTGTAAGGTTCTTAGTCAGTGTTAATGTATTACAGGCAACTACTAAGTATTAATTCCCACTCACACAGTAGCATACTGGTTTGTAGTCTGTCCTGCACCTTGTTTTTTGTATTATATATCATGGTTTTGGCAGAGTTCTAACATCTTTTCATTTTGTATAAAGGAAAAACACCTTTTGTGTAATTTTCTCAAGGACAAACCACCCGGGCAACACAATCCCTAGTGAACTTTTACAGTACCCTCCACCCAATAAACGGCATGTCAGAAGCCGTAGTGATCCAGTGATGGATGAGAAGGTTTTCTGCCATCAGGGGATCCTTAGTCTAAGAGCAGACTTGCTGGACTTGTTCAGTTTCATTGAAAGATTGTTAAATCTTAAAGCCCCCCAAAGTTTGGTTTCACATTTGAATGAATACTATGTAAGAACTCACAGACATGTGGTTCTGTCTCTTGAACAAACCAGAAAAGATATGCATGGCTTGTGTTAAGCTCATGTTCCTTTTTATGTTTTGTCTGAAAGCACAACAAAGTCTTCACTAAAAACAGGATCTCCTGCAAGTTATGAGTATGGCCCTAATAGAGGTAGAATGTTGAGAGATCGGCAAGGGCCCTTCAATGAAGCCGGTCAGCCACCTTAGCGTGCGGTGCTGGTTTCTGCCGGCAGAGGGAGCTCCGGGCACAGACTTCGGTGGAGGCCTGCAGCCTGCAGTGCTCCCAGGCGGTTGCGGTTGACCAGGCAGTTGATGTACTCACCAGCAAGGGTTACTTTACTCTCATTTTTCTCCTTCTACCGGTGCTGCAGCCACCTCCGTTTCTACCCCAGCTCGAATTACTCCATAATATCTAATATAGCTGTTACTCAGACCCTCTTTCTTACTGAATCTCACCAGCCCTCACCGCTCAAATGCCCTCCTGCCCGCTTCCCCTGTCCGCTGGCCACTTTCTTTTCCCCACCTGCTCCCTGCCATTTTGCACCTCTTTCCTTCGAGCTACTCCGTCTTTCTGAAATACCACCCCTCCCACCTCGACAAATCCAATCCTGCCCGATGTCAAGCCCTGATTTAAAGAATGCCCAAAGCCTGCCTTGACTGTCCCAGCTGGACAGTGGCTGTCTTCCCTGAAATCGCGTAGCTCTTTCTATTTTGTGTTGAAGCTCTTCACTCAAATGAGGGAGCTCTGCTCCTGTGTGTTTCCCCAGCACAGTGGCGTCTTTATTAAGTATGAGATGTAGTGTTTCATGGGCTCTTCATTAGTCCTTCCCCAGACAAGATGGCTGTAGAAATCCTGAAATGATTCCTGTGGGGCTTCCTAATTTGCTTGAAAAGAAAACTAGGCACAGAGCTAGATAGAAGACAGAAGGCAAATGTTTTCTACCTTGAAACGTATATTGCACAGATCTGAACAATTAGTAAAATGATGGGGTTGTATGATCAGAGGCTTTCAACGAGTAATAAAGGATGCTTTTAAGAGTAGTAAATCAATGAATAATAGTAGTCAGTGGTTTGTGTCAAGCCCTGTCTCTACCACCAGAAAAAGTTGATTTCTGTCTTGCAGAGTGGTCAAGAATATAGGCGTCTTTGTTTCCTTTTTTAAGCCATTCTGCTTTTTGACTGGCTTTTGCGACAGCATTAGTTTTTTACCAGGCAGAAGAGAAGCCTTGGGCTGTAACCAGAGGTGAGATGGCTGAAATCTCAGTGGTCCTCCAACTAGAATTAGACTGAACAACAGTGTGTGAGTTAGGAGTGCTTTTGGCTACAGGACACAGAAAGATCCAAATCACAGAGGATCAAACAAGGGGGTGTTCATCTTCTCATAACAAGCAGTCTGGATGTAAACCCCAAGCATTTGCTTTGTTGTGATTCTCTTGTTCTTTCCCTCATAGTTGCAAAATTGTTGTCACAGCTCCAGATATCACATCTGTATTCAAAGCAGGGAGAAGTGCGGAGCAGTGGGGTCAGCCACGTCAGGTTTTTTTAATGAAGAAAATACAGGCTTTCACTGACTTACCCTCAGGTCTCGTTGATCAGAACTGGTCAAGGGGCCAGAATGGTTTAAAATACAGGGTTTCTCAAACTCAGCACTATTGACCTTTTAGCCTGGATAACTCTTTATTGTGGGAGCTGTCCTGTGCACTGCAGGATGTTTAGCAGCATTTCTGGCCTCTGTCCACTGGGTGCCAGTAGCCCTCAGTGGTGACAACTAAAAATATTTCCAGATGTTTCTGAAGTCCCCTGGGAGGCAAAAATCATCCCCCCTTGAGAACCGCTGGTTTAGACCAGTCATGATCCATTGCTTGAGGCTGGCTGTATTTCCACCTTGAAAAAAAAATCAGAATTAGTAAAGCAAAAAGACGGTCATGGGTCTAGGGGTGGGCAGCTAAAAGCAGCGATAATGAAATCTAAGGGCACTCTTATTTTTTGTCGTCTTGGTAAAACTCAGTGTTACACATCATTAGACCAGTGGTTCTTAGGACGCAGTGTAGAAGAGGACACCATGGGGACTTGTTAAAAATGCAGTGCCTCAGCCCCCTCCCGGAGGCCCAGATTCAGCAGGGCTGGGGTAGTGCCAGGATCTGCATTTTTTTTTAATTGAGGTCATAATAGTTTATAACATTGTGAAGTTTCAATTGTACATTATTATTTGTCCATTACCATGCATATGTGCCCCTTTCACCCTTGTTCCTGCTCCCCACCCCCTTCTCCTCTGGTAACCACTAGTCTGTTCTCTTGTCATGTGTTTGTTTATCTCCCACATGAGTGAAATCGTACAATGTTTGTCTTTGTCTGGCTTATTTCGTTTAACATAGTACCCTCACGGTCCATCCATGTTGTTGCGAATGGGACGATTTTGTCTTTTTTTATGGCTGAGTAGTATTCCATTGTGTGTATATAGCACATCTTCCTTGTCCAGTCGTAACTGATGGGCACTTGGGTTGCTTCCACGTCTTGGCTATTGTGAATAATGCTGCAGTGAACATAGGGGTGCATAAGTCTCTTTGGATTGTTGATTTCAAGCTCTTTGGATAAATATCCAGTAGTGGGATAGCTGGGTCATATGGTATTTTTATTTTCAATTTTTTGAGAAATCTCCATACTGTTTTCCCTAGTGGCTGCACCAGTTTGCATTCGCAGCAGCACTGTATGAGGGTTCCCTTTTCTCCACATCCTCTCCAACATTTATTTTTAGTTTTGGTGATTATAGCCGTTCTAACAGGTGTAAGATGATATCTCATTGTAGTTTTGATTTGCATTTCCCTGATGATTAGTGATGCTGAACATCTTTTCATGTGCCTGTTGGCCATCTGTATATCTTCTTTGGAGAAATGTCCGTTCATGTCCTCTGCCCATTTTTTGATTGGGTTGTTTGTTTTTTTGTTGTTCAGTTGTGTAAGTCTTTTTTTTTTTTTTTTTTTTTTTAGTGAAAGCCCGATTCCTCAATCATTTATAGAAATCTCAGATAGAGCTTTTGTTTTTTTGTTTTGTTTTTAAGATTGGCACCTGGGCTAACAACTGTTGCCAATCTTTTTTTTTTTTTCTGCTTTATCTCCCCAAACCACCCCCTGTACACAGTTGTACATCTTAGTTGCAGGTCCTTCTAGTTGTGGGATGTGGGACGCCGCCTCAACGTGGCCTGACGAGTGCTGCCATGTCCGCGCCCAGGATCCGAACCCTGGGCTGCCACAGCGGAGCACGCGAACTTAACCACTCGGCCACGG